TGTTTTGACCTTATTATGTTATCTTCATATCTTTAAGTTAAAATATTAATTTTTTAATAAATTAAGCGCTGTAAAATTAATATTATGTTACATTATACGCAATTTAAGATAAAAAATAAAAAATGTTATAAAAATTCAATCGACAAAGCAATGAAATTGACACTTCAAAATTCAAATGTTTGCCGGAACGCACGCCAAATTGGCAATGGGAACTAGCTAAGCCACCTCTCGAGCAACGAAGTCAAAGGAAATTGGAATATTTTTTCCCCGAGAAAGAGGAAACTAGAATGTTGAATAACCCGAAACTAATTTCGATTACAAGTAGCATGTGACATTATGCATTGGGTGAAATTGAAAAATTGAGTCTCTACACATTTGATATATAAAAACAGTAAGAAAAAATTGGCAAAAAAGACCTACTTAGAAACAAAATTGGTTCTAGGGACCAAATATACTTGAAAGATCGGGGCTAATATTTTATTTATTAAATAATTTAAACAAATAACTGAAATATCCCTTTGTGTCAATTATTTTTTTTTAAGGCACAAAATTCAATTGCCAGGAGCTCCGACAAGTGACAGTGTTCCTATCAGAGCTTTGGTCAGTAGGTGAAATGTTGTTAAAAAAAATCAATACCTCTTGATTACATGTAATCAATAAGGAGTACGTGTAAACTCAACAATTAAAAGGTACAAGAATTTTAACTTAAGGTGTAAGGGATTTAGCTTGGGTGTATGGTTTCTGACTTGAGATACAAGAGTTATGACTTAGATGTAAGACTTCTGACTTGAGGTGCAAGGCTTCTAGTTTGAGGTGTAAGTGTTATAGTATGGGTGTAAGGCTCTCTGACTTGGGTGTAAGGGATCTAGCTTGGGTGCAAGGCTTCTGACTTGAATTATTACATGTAATATCTTGTGGATGATATATAAATCAAATACACAAAAAGCACACTCCTGTCAATTCTCCAAATTTACATGAAAATGACTTTGGATTGCATGTAAGTCAAGATAGGAAAAAATTGTGAGTATGCCTGAGAAATAATTTATATATAATCTTTAATGGATTACATGAAAAGTAAACATACAGAGACCACACTCTTGTGAATCCCCCAAAATTACATGAAAATTACTATGGATTGCATGTAAATCAATATGGAAAAAAATTCACGAGCATGCTTGATGTAACATCCTAAAAATCTAAACTTGGTTAATCAAGCTTAATGAGGGTAATTAAGTGAATTAATGTGATATGTGGCTAGAGGGGTTTAATAAGTGTGTTTGATTATGATTTCAACCCTAAATGTGGGTTCAAAGTGAAGTCAAGCCAACCAAACATCAAAAGTGGAGGAAAAAGTGAAGAAGAGTTCTTTATACCACATGCCATGGTATGAGAAATGTCCGCCATGGCTCACAGAGGTAATGCAATGAAGGAATGACTTCTTTGTGCCATGCACCGCAGCATGTGCTATATGGCCAACTTTTTTATACACTGGTCGTGAAACAAATGAAAAAATATAGGAGAGAAAAAGGAGACAATGAAAAGCAAGATATTGCTCTACTCATAATGCCTAAACAAGAAGGATCAACAAAGAATATTCACTTAAAATGAAGTCATATTTTAAAGAAAAGCTTACTTAGTTCAAGGATCAAAATCATAATTCATATCACATCTAAATTGGTAATTTCATTTGAATTCATAAATGAACTAAAAAGGAATGCAACAATTGAGGTGAATATTATATATATGACAAAACAATTTAAAAACCTACCTGATTGATTTTCAACAATCCCACCTCAAGAAGATGAGCATCTATTAGTATTATATCTTCAAGTTTAATATTGATTATATTACTTAAAACTAGGATTGAGGCATCTTGCTCATTCCACCTACCATCTCGAAGAACCATAACACCATAGAAATTAGAAATGCAACTGTGAGGAAACTGATTTCATGGAGAAAAGAAAAGCAAATTAGAAAGGGAAAACTAGACTGCGTTGATAATTAAGCTAAATTAGAGCTAGCAGCCATTAATGTGAAACGAATTAAATGCTAAATATGACACCTTTGCTTTTAGAGCATGACGAGTTATGAGATCTGCTGCAACATTACTTGCATTATTTTCCTCGATGAAACTAATTATTAAATTGATGAGAAGCAAAGTGATGATACCCATAAAGCATTGCCAATTAAGGGGCTTCCCTTATATACAAAAGTTTAAGGAACAATTAAAATCCTCAATAACAAAAGTATCAAAGCCTTGAAGAAGTTTTTCTAAAAAGTTTAGCAACAAGAACTTTAAAAGCTGAACATACGAGCACAATTGCTATTATAGCAACAGCCTCCATAACCTATAATAAAGGATTTCATATGAAACCCAAAAACTTCAAAAATTTTCTCTCCTAAAATATAATTTACAAAACAAATACTTTTTTATTTTTTTTACTTGGCTTTAATTAAAAAACAACACCAAGAGAAGGGAAAGGTATAGGATAAGACGAGTTTTGAACATTTTTCTCTTCAAGCTTGTTATGCTCGAAAATGGTAAGGCTCTCCTTTGCTTTACATTCAGGGGAAGACGATAGTTGAAAACCAAATGAAACGAAAACAAAAGCAATGGAATTGAAAGAAGAGGAATAGGAGAACAAAATTGATGGTGAGAGTTGTGGGAATCACTCGGTAGTGAGAAAGTGAAAAAATATTTTGCCAGCGTCGGAGCTGCCTCGTTGAAGCTTAGCTTAATGGAGGGGCACAACTATAGGGAGACACAGAAACAGTGAAAATGGATAGGGCACAAGGGTTATTTAGTCAGATGAGGAAGTAGTAAGTGAATAAAATAATAACCATGGTCCTCCAATGATTTTTGGTCCTTGAGACCAATTTTCATTTCAACTAAGTTATTTTTACTAATTTTCCCAAATAGTGAAGCTAGTCAAAGATATTTAGATCTAACTGGTTTCTGTTCCTTTTTTTAAGATCTTTTTTTGTAATATAATTTTTAGAATTGTTTTCAAAACAAAAAAAAATAAAAATTCATTTGGCTATATTAATTAAAAAATAATTTTTGAATTAAAAAATAGAATGATGGTAATGATTACAAGCGGTTAATGGTAATGATTTATCATAGAATTTGATCAAGATGACAGTAATTTCTAATAGTTAAATGCATGCATTTAGAAAATAGGAAAAATAAAACAAAAAACTTGAAGTTGTTTATATTTTTTTAAAAAATAATTTTTTTAAAATAATTAAATTGAAAACAATTATCTAAATAAGTTTTTATTTCTTTGTTTTAAAAAATAAAAAATAGTTTTTAAAAACATAAAATAAATAAGTCCTTATATTCTATGAAGGTGAATGTGAATGCAAATCTAAAGTAAAATTATAAGCATGTGGTTGATATTTCTTGAAAGTGAAACTTAATTAGCAGGCTTTAGGAACGGGAGCACATCCTGTGCTTATCACAGCACTTGGTGCTTATCACCTATGATATAATATAGGCTGTCTAGATTTTAGATTTAAATATTTTTTATTTAGTAAACTAAGAATTTTGGAATATATAAACATGTTCTTCATTATTAATCTGGATTGTTTAGATTGTCTAAATTTAATATTAATTTTTTTATAAATTTTATAATTTTTTGTTTTATTAAACACAATATTAAAAATAAAGATAATATGCTAACTGAATCTTCCCAATTTTTTTTAAAATCATAATTTAAAAGTTTTGATTTTGAATAGAATCTTTATGGTTAATTTATAAAACCTATAAAAATTAATATTAAATTTGGAATAACTTATTAAATATGAACTACACAGATCAATAATTAATAGATTTATTAAAAATTTTACAAAATTTTATTTTAATAAAAATAAAATAAAAAATTAAAAAGAAAAGTATTCAAATCCGGATCATTCACTCTTGATAAGCAATGAATGTACTCGCCTCCAGGAAAGAGTGAGCGTGGCTCTCCAACAGGTCCAATTAATCGGCCTATGTGTGGGGCGTACTCTTAAATTAACATCGACATTGGCAGAAACTCAAAGTTGTAATTAGAAAAAAAAAAAAAACTATTTTTATTTTTCACTGTGGAAAACGACTTCCATAATATGATACTCATCTATCTACGCCGATCTCAGTTACGTGAACCATTCTTCTAAATCTAACACCTGTCAAGCCCGCTTCACTCTTGTCCTTTTCCTTCAGCACGCCCGTCTTTCATCTCTTCTCTTTCTTTACCTGTTTTAATCATTCTTTGTTTTCATCTCCGGCCCCCTGAAAGCTACTTGTCGCTTTATTATAAAATAAAATTGACTTCAATTTTTGAGATATTTGCCCCGTGGCTGCCCAACTTGTTAGAATCGTTGTTGTATTGTTAATTAGGGTGACGTCCTGATTGCCATAATTTGCGCAATAAAATTACTCACAGCCGAGGATGACATGTATCCATGGCGTCGGAGACACGTGGCTAAATCGCGTTAGGCTGGCACAACTTGCAACTAAAGGGCTGAGGCGGTGCACGATGTGAGCTCTGTGGGGCTGACACTTCACTTTTTCATTCGCTTCCACACGTTCGTCTCCTTATCTTTCACGCCTCTTCTTCCCCCCATTTGTTTACTCATAAATAATCTTCATACTTTTAAATACAATTCTTTTAACTTTTTTAAATGTCAGTATAATTGAAGTGTTAAGTTTTGTGATTCAGTAAGCGATGGCTACATGGTTTAACATTTTTAAAATATTTTATATTAATTTTCTGGTGTAATGTAGAAACATGACCGTTAATCCTGATTATTTAAGATTCCCCATTTTTGCTTCCGTCTTCTTGTTTCTTTTCGTTTCGTTTCGTTTTTCTTTTTTTTTTTTTTTTCCTTCTTTGATGAAAATTTTGCCTTCCTTCTCAAATTCCCACCAAGCAACGAAAGCCCGCTAAGATTGACCCAAAGTCAAATTTGTTATCTCAAATTTGGCTCCACTCTCACTTAACTTTAAGGTCAAAAAATTAACGATCTAATGTTAATCCTCCACGATTCAATCACGCGCCTCCGTCTGCACAGATGTTGCCAGATGGGGTCTATATGATCATTCTTTTCGGAATTTTCTTTTTCAACCTAAATTCACCTTTCTTTTCACATTGTAACTCGTTCCCTTACCTTCATATATTCGTACTAATTATTGAAGAATAGAGAACTCTTCTCTATTCTCAACATCGAATTTACCACTTTCCATTTTTACATATTTCACCGTTCTTTTTGCACCCCCCACGCCATGCTGGAAAACTCTTCATCGGCTAATACTGCGGATCCCGTTCAGAACCGCCCAGTTGAGGACGGAGACGGGAGCGGGCCTGACTCCAATGGCCTCCAAGACCAAAGAGGGCTCGCAGGCCCGGCAGCTGACCTGAATTCCGCCGGTCAGCGGTGGCCTCGGGAAGAGACGCTGGCTTTGCTCAAAATAAGGTCTGAGATGGACATTGCTTTCAGGGACATAAGCCCCAAAGGTCCTCTCTGGCAACAGGTTTCGAGGTCAGTTCATTCTCTCAGTGATGCGAAATTAATTTCTGGCATGTTTTCTTTTTTTTTAGCCAACAACCTCAACCTTATTCCGGTTTAAACATTACTGAGAGCTGTGCTGTTTACATGATTCCGTAGAGTGATTTCCCTTTTTTGGGTCATCTTGTCCATGAAAAAGCGGGGTCCAATTCGGGTAAAGGGGGAAGATAGGGTGGGTATATTTGGTTAGTACTAGTCTTATCAAATTAGTACATACAGTGAGAAGTGTGATGATTGAATTTGGGAACTGTGCAGGAGGTTGGAAGAGCTAGGATACCACAGGAGTGCAAAGAAATGTAAGGAGAAGTTCGAGAACGTTTACAAGTACCACAGAAGGACCAAGGAAGGCCGTTATGGCCAACCCAGCCGCAAGACTTATCGTTTCTTTGAGCAGCTAGAAGCTCTTGATGCCCACCTGCTCCTTCCACCTCCAAGTTCAACAGAAAAGGATCACATGCCACATACGACGACCCCACTGGATGTTGTTCACCATGCCGTGCCCTGCTCTACTCGATTCCCTGGTGCAAATAGCAATTCCATCACTTCCTCTTCCAATGAAGAATGTGGGGAAGCTACGCCCAGAAAGAAGAGTAGGCTGACCAAGTTTTTCCGGGGCTTGATGAAGGAAGTAATAGAGAAGCAGGAGACTCTACAGATGAAATTGATGAAGGTGTTGGAAAAATGTGAGCAGGATCGAATAGCGAGGGAGGAAGCGTGGAGGACGCAAGAATTAGCTCGGCTTAACAGAGAGCACGAGCTTTTGGCTCAAGAAAGATCTGTAGCGGCAGCCAAGGATGCCGCCTTGCTTGCGTTTCTCAAGAAGATAACAGAACAATCAGCATGCCCGGTGCAACTGCCGGAGGATATTCCGTTTGATCGGATCCTGATTCCAGACGATGTGGACAACGACAAACAAGAAATTGTCAATGGAGGTTGTACTGTTAGCTTCACGGATAAGCAAGAATTGGCGAGTGTTGGGAATTTCATACAGATGAGCTCCTCCCGCTGGCCCAAAGAAGAAGTGGAAGCTCTGATTAGATTGAGGACAAACCTGGATGTGGAATATGAAGGAAATAATGGGCCTAAGGGACCCCTGTGGGAAGAAATATCCGTGGAAATGAAAAGGCTCGGGTACGATCGCAGTGCCAAGAGATGCAAAGAGAAATGGGAGAACATAAACAAATACTTTAAGAGGATGAAGCAGAAAAATAAGAGAAAGCCTGAGGATTCAAAGACGTGCCCATATTTTCACCAGCTAGATGCTCTATATAGTAAGAAACCTAGGAAGGCCCAAGGATCAGCTGCTTCTGGGAACGAGTCGAGGCCGGAGGAGCTATTGATGCATATTATGAGCAGTCAAGAAGAGCGACAATCATCTGAAGATGCCGACAGCAAGAAGACGAATCAGATTGAAGGAGATAAGGAACGTGTGGATCAGATGGTAGACAATAGTACTTCAACCGCAATCATGGGTTGAAAAGGCCCTCTGCATAATTTTAAACCAATTCTCCTGTCAGGGCCATCGTGGGTTCTTATAGATTTCAAGTGATTATCAGACGTGGGTCATCATGATCATGAACTAGGCTAACTAGACCTGAACAAGGGTTATATTCTGGCTTCAGAGCGTCCTCCGTCTAGATATACGTCATCTTTTTGTTAGAGTATATACGAGTCAATCTCATCGGTGCTGCCTAGGCTCGTCAAATTTTCTTCGTCATTTTTGTTCCATGAATACAGTGCACATAACACATACATGCAGAGAGTTTTGTCTAAGCGCCCAAAATTAAAAAAAAAAAAAATCATCGGGTTTGTTAATTTATTATAGTTTAATGGTTTTTTTGTCCCTTTGAAGTTTGTTAACCCCATGTGAGCTATAAAGTAGGAAAACGGTTGGATCTGTTTGTTCGTGACAATAAACAAAGGCATAGTGAAATGTAATGATAATGATAGTGCATTTTTTTGAAAAAGTAGGGAAAATGATGATCGCATCACGCGTTTTACTATCAATTTCCCGCATGTAATCAGTAGCCAGGGCATTGTTACATTTCAAGGCATAGAAATACGAAGCTTGCCAACCAGTACAAAATTCAAATGACGTATGATATGCCTATCGCAGAATTAATCATTCCAAACCCAAACGAAAACTAAGAGAAGTCAAAGTTCAGGTGGTTGTTTAACGATTCCGAGTCAGTGAGCCTCTCTGAATCATAGATTGCTGTATGGCCTCCAATAGCTATCAAATAAGAAATATTTGATTAGCCTATGAGCTTGCTGATGCTCTCATCAAATTACTTTTGTTTTGCCGTTGATCTATCACCTGTTCAATGTTTTTTTTTTTTTGACAAGCAAAATTCAAGACTGAAATCTTTCATAATATATATGTTATATTGTTTTGGCTGTTAAACTGGATCATAATTTGAGACTGAGTTTTTACTGCTTACATCAATATGAGTTTGTCTAAGAATAATTACTCCATAGTCATTTATATTGCACATGCATTTTCTTTATTTCAATTTTTGGACCAGTTTAATTTCATAAACCATTGCCTTTGGGATCAGTATCTTGTTAATAGAGAACAGCCTTCAATTCTTCACTCGATGGAAACTCATGCGTTGGCGCAGATTCGGGGCCGAATAGCTAGTCCTTCTCAAAAGAAACTTGGCCACATTCCCAATGATGTGAGACTGTCATTTGATGAAATTGAAAGGGGATGGAGAAAATTAAAAAAAGAAAAAAAGAGAGAGAGAAAGTGAAAGTAAAAGCAATAACGCGTGGATTCAATTATTATTGCATACTTGCTTAGCATCTTGCTTGATCGATAAACCAAAGACAATAATTTAAGTTGGGTTGGTGGCCAATTATCAAGGATCTAGAATTGTTCAGTAGGGCCTCCCCGTTCATTGTTGTGCAAATTAGTCAGTAATCAAATCATGTGAGTTGATGAGGACAAAACAAGGTCCCAGTACTTGCCTCAAAAATAATATCTAACATTAATGCTCATCTATGTTGTTTTGTTTTCTTATGAGTTCTTAGCTTCCTCTGAAAGGTAAGACACGGATACGTCTAAGCTGTGATAAGATGTGAATCATTTAAATTTTAATTTAAATTGCCTAGATTTAATGAATTATCTTACATTTATTAAAATAAAAAATTATAAAAACAAATTGTAACAAACCCTTTTATCATCAATTGGGTTTAGATTTAATTTAAAAGATCCAATTTAATATTAAAATTTTTATATATTAACTACCTGGATGTAATATGCATAGTTTAAATTTAAAAATTTTAACTTGTAATTTTCTTAAAATATATTTTTAAAAATATTTTATATTTTTAGTAAATCTAAACTATGTAGAGTACATCTGAATAATTAAAATATAAAATTATAAAAATATTAATATTAAATTAAATTTAAACCTAATTGATGAAAAAAATATTTACTTTACAATTTTTATTAAATCTGGATTATCTAGCTACATCTGATTACCTTGTAAGCACAACCGGACGAGATTCGCACCTGCGCGTACTTTTTGTTTACTCCTACTCATCTTCCTCGGGTCTATAATCTACATTTTAGTTAGTTAAGACATAAATTTATTCAGCACATATTTTCTCATGTATTGCATGGAATTTGGAACAATGCATACACGTAGTGTTTTTAAAAAATTGCACTATTTAAAACGTAATAAAATATGAAGTTAAACTAAACGTGCCGGATTGAGAGGCAAAAGTATTTCGTCAAGGAGATGATGGAGCCTGACTGTGGTCAATTTTTTGTCAATGAAGAAGAAATTTCCATTTTTTTGGGTTAAAAATGGCTTATGTCTTCTTGAAATGACTTACTTATAGATTGAATTCAATGAACTTTAAAAGGCAATTGCTGAGTTGTTTTTGTCCTTTCCATGCTCACTTCTAGACTCTAGTTCATTGTAATCCAAAAATGGATTTCCCAACCTTTTATTTATTTCTCCTTTGTCCAAAAAAAAAACCTTTTATTTATTTCTCTGATCGAGAAGGAAAATATTCAAAAATGAGCAGGAAAAAATTATTTTTGAAGGATGATAAAACTTTTCATTTCTTGAAATTTGACTCACTTATTAATTTGATTGCTTAAATTTAATTTTTATCAATTTAATCTCTTATGATTTTTAAATTATCATACTAGTCTTTTATGTTTTGAAACACAAAATTGATTCTCAAATTAATTTAACATGTAAAATATGTTAATGATTTGACATATATAATTATATAAAGAAAAATTAATTTAATTTTTATCAATCTAGTCCTTTATGCTTGATTTTATTCTTTTATTTTTTTAAAATTTTTAGTATAATTTTCTTATCTAAATAATTATACATCTGTTTATTAATCTACGTGTCTATAATCAATATCTTTTTCTACACATGTCAGCATATTTTAAATGCGTCACCTTTTCTTCTAAACAATAAAAATTAAATCAATAACAAAGGAATACTTTAGGGATCTGATTAAAAAATAAATTTTAGGGATCGAATTAATAACTAACATAAATGGACTAAAAATTTCATTATTTTTTTAACAGTAGTTTAAAGTCATGGTTGAATGATTGTGATTGTGTGGATTCATTTGGTTGGTCCTCGCTCTTTATAGCCTTAATTGCGTTGCCCCAAACGGAAAAGCTCCCCAGAAGAGTCCAATTTTAGCTCAGGCTCATTCTATGCTGCAGTTCTGATCACCAATTTTTTCTTAATATCTTATTTCAAATTTGAATTTCAGTTTACAACTAGATATTAAATAAATACATCATTAATATATGATTAATGATTCCATTATCTGTTTCCCCCTGGCCATTACTTGCTTTGGCTATCTATGGTAATTTTTTTTACTAATCACCACTTTATTGTTAGGCTTGCAACTTTGAAACGGACGTTCTCCTTCACTAATTCTAGCCTCTCCATAACTTAAACCGAAAGCACATTGAAATTTGAGCAGGGAGAAATATAAAGATTCAAGAGTAAATATGCTTTTTTTATTTTCTTTCGCACCCGATATCTTGAAATGTTTGGGTATGTTGGGTTCGTTGCTCACTTAACTCACTTCAGACTAATCCGAACCTCTGCTAAGTTGGCCTTTTTTGAGGTGATACTTGCAGGTACCACTAGCAAAACATGCTTTGTATACTTAGCTACACTGTTGTATATCTTGAAATTCAAATTTGAGACCTTAAGTTAAACTATCCAAATCCCTATCATTAGGAAAGGCGTCTTTGGTAGAGTAAATTAGCTTTGTTGACTCTCTAGATGATCAATTATTCAATTTTTGCGTGTTATATTTGACCCCTCACTAGTTAATTTGTAGAACATGCTACCTGCCACTTTTTCTAACAAGAGATTTAAAAAAATGTTTAATGATGAAATGGCATTGGTGAAGTAATTCGTCAGTAGCAAATTGTACGATAATGAGACATCAAAGATTAACTTCTAGTTTAAAGCTCATGTTTTGTTTAAAATTGGAGTCATATTATTATTGATTTATGAACAGGAAAACTGAGTCGAAGCCTAACAGTACGTATATTTCATTTGTCACTACCAGCATCTCAAAGCCCAGTGGGGCTTGGCAGAACTAACTCAGTAAGGCTCTTTCTCGTGGCTGGGAGGAGCAAAGCGCTTGTGTTGTCCATGGCGGACTACGGCACTCAGCAGCAACAGCGTCAATACCAGGCAGGGCCAGGCGTCCCCAAAGAGACGGCTCTGCGAGCACTGAACACCATAATCCAGCTCCATTTCGAGAAGACCCTTGAGAAGAAGCGAGCCATCGACCTTCAAAAGAGGCAGCTTCACAAACTCTTTCAGATATTCTTCATCTTATTGACACTGGTGCTCCTGGTCCACACTCTGTCCACTCGTCTCCAATGCCGCCATTGCTGGATCCCCATCACCCTCCTCTCCCTGGCCCACCTCATCTTCTACGTCTCCGTGGCCCAGACCCTGAGATGCATCAATGGCTTCAAGTACCAGAGGCGCTGCCACAAGCTCACTCTCGGATTGGCCACGGATAAGCTCAGGGAGATCAAGACCAAGATGAGCGCTGCGGACGCTGATGAGTGCGAGGATGAGCTTGAGATTCAGTACCAGGAACCCCCGGAAAGTTATTTCGGTAAGTTCAAGAGGAATTGGGCTCTTCATTTCGGCTTTTTAATCTTCACCTACGCCTTCATGGTTTCTTCCTGTGTTGTTCTCCTGTGTTTTTGAGAATTCCATGGAGACATTTCAAATTATCGGGTATCAGGCATCTAATTCTGTTGTTAGGTGTAAACATAAATACACTGTAAGATTCCACTAACGAACTCTGGAATCAATCCGATGATGATGATGATGATTATTATTATTATTATTATTCCCAGTTCTTGGTGATGTTCTCTCCCTTCCCCCCCACCTTTCTTCATGGGAGGAATCATACGTGTCACTGATTTTTCAAACAGCTTAAAGTATAAGCGAATCCCGTAATCATGGGAGTGCATGTTCCTGTATCATTTTCTCAAGCGCATGCTAATCTCTTGCTCCCTTGTCTTCAAATTAAACACCACCTTTTCCATGTAAGTGAAAATTCAGTATAGACTACGGGAAATAACTTGGTTCATGTTCATGCATTGACCAGGCATTTTCAAGACATGGTCATGTGAAGTGAGAATTCCATGACACCCTTGTACTCAATTCAATTGCAAGTACCATAAACTGAAATAACCAAAATGTAACATACTGGACATATTAAACATTACACGTGAGTGGCTCAGAGGCTCCAAATGGTCAATTATAGGCCTTGAATCTGCAGTAACCAGAATGATTATAACTTTGTCTATGAAAATAAAAATTTCTCCCTTCATTTTTCTCGCACATCACGGAGACACTCAATTCTTCCTTCAGCAATTCGAATTTAAGATCTTGATTTAATTATCAACAAAAAACAAAATGTAAATAATTAAATATGTTCGTCCACCTCTGACGGACATCATTATTGAATTGGAAACTGTCAGTTTCAGAACCAGAACGTGCCCAACTGCCACTTAAGCTGGGGAAAGGGCACGGCATAATGACTTGTAAGCATTGAGACAGAGTTTGAATTTTTCTTCCGCCACTGCCTGCAATCATCAAAAGTTAATGAGCCAGAATGTGATCAGATGCCGCAGGTTTCCATACCAAAGAAACGGATAAACAGAACAAAAGGTTGAAAAGAACAAAATTAAATTAACTCGTCACATGGGTGGGTGACAATTGTTCAATCATGATTTAGATGGTTCATAGTTCATATCTTGCGATGCCAACCAAACATCCTTTTCCCATCTGATGATAGTATAACTCGAAATTTTTTTTTAAGACCATCCTTCTAACATTAATATAAAATATAAACGATAAAATAAGCCACAGAATGTGATTCGCATAAGACTACGTACAAATACGCGAGATCTACTCTAATTTAAACTTTATCGAAATATCTGGATAGATATTGAAGGAATAAAAACAAATTATCACGAAAACCAATAAATGTGCAGAAAAAGATTGGAAAATAAAAATAAAAATAAAAATTTACACAGCTTTAAAAGAGCGAATCCTTCCTGCACTTCGTATAAATTTCATATTTATATTAATTAATAATATTGAAATATTGATTGATTTCAAGTAGTTGGCAACGATTGATTCCTACACGAATGGCAGCTCAGAATGCCATACAAAATTTCAACTGCTCCCATAATTGACAGTTTTAGGCTATAATACCAGTTTAACCCAGGTGGTCTCACACTAGCTAAACTAACAACCTAACACATCACTGTATGCTAGTGTCGTAACCTAGCACATGTTATCAGATACAACAGGTTGAGTGTCTTGAAGAGTCTATCAAACAGATATGCTTGAAAATACTCCAAACTCACCTGAGAAGGGCCTTGATGCTTATCAGGATGCCATTTCAAAGCTGATAGCCGGAAACTGCAAGGCCAAAAAATGATATCAGATATTTGTAGCACACATGTGTTGCATGACCTAGCCTCTAGTTTAATTTCATCGGGACAAAACATTAGACCACTTACGCATTTTTAACATTCTCAAGCTTTAGAGGACCTGTTGAAGGCAGACCAAGAACTGTTCTCTCTGACAGTGATCCTACATAACACAAATCGTCGTCGTTGTCGTCAGACTCAGCATCACTTGTGCGTTTCCAATTTCTAGTTCTACCATTTGTCCAATTTGTATGTTCCCTCCATTCAAAGCCAGATGTTGAATACTCACTGGACGACCCCTGCCAGTTTCTAAAGGACCATGTGTAGCATCGGTTACCAAATGTAGCTTGGAAAGTTGTCTCAGAATCATAATCAGACTCCTCAGAGAAAGTCTCTCTTCTGATTTTTCCTGAATATGTAATGGCTATCAACCGTGATGTAAGTGAACAGACGTTAAATTTTAAGAACAAGATATCTTTTTGGGGCCTTTGGGAGAATTACTCCCATCAAAGGCCCAATACTTAAATATGACCTGGTAGTACCAAATATCAGATACTTTATCAAAAAGAAAAAAGGATTTTTTTTCCAAAGGCCACATTGTTTACTTGTGTGTAATCTACTTGTTATTTGTTTGTAGTAATTACGTAACAAAACTTCAGAAAAGTTGCAGCTATGCGGACTAATCTCTGAATGGACACAAAAGAACTCACGCTTTACTTTCTTTTTTGGTTTTCCAGACTGCTGATGAGACGTTGCTTGGCGTTTATTGTAACAGCTTTCTGAATCATCATCTTTATCTCCATAGAAATTGCGGTCCCCAAACTTCCAAGTTTCTTGACTCTTGGTAGAAGTGCAAAACAACACATGTAAAAGACATGTATAATTTATAGTACATATAAGTGTGAAGACATGTAAGGCAATAAGATCCTTCATAAGACAATATTCAAATGAATGAAAAAGAAGACACATGCATTTCAACATCAGAGAATGGAGAGATCGCTAACATCTGTACGTGGCCAGTGAAAAAAGACGATTTCACAGCAACTGTTTATGGCTTATCAGGAAGAAAGGTCTTACTCTATTGCTAAATCAGATGTGCTTTGATTAATGAGCCTTGCTCAGCATAAAGCTGGTATACAAAGCAATTATCAATTATAAATTTTAGTCTCACGATCTACTCTTGGCAAAAAGATTCAATATACAACGCAAGCATCGCATTTATATTCCTATCTTTTCTTATTTTCCATCCTATGAACCACTAGTCATGATTAAGAATTAAGATTCGAAGTTCCACCTAATTTAAAATGTTTTCTTCAAATCAGCTCTTCCTTGCATTTGTACACCATTCCTCTTCCATCAAGGATGGCCGACGGCATAACAAAAGGAAACAATATAAGAGAAGGTTTTCTGAACATTGAATGGCAAGGGCTCTATCCATAACTAATATATGAACAACATACCTCAAATGAAAATTTAGAAGACCCACTTCTATAAAGGAGATCTTTCAAAGCTTTCTTTGCATCAGCCCGCTTTTGGCGTATGACATATTTGACATAACTCTGAAGTCAACATTTGAAGCATCATAAATAGCTTGCATAAATATATATCATGGTCAAACCTTTAAAAAGCCACAAAGTTATGCCTGTCGATAAATTAGCGACAAGATCAAATGGAGCCTATATCCAATCATTGCTGCACTTGTTAGTGACTAATGCCAGAACTCAATGATCACAGGGAAGTCAGAAGAAGAAGAAGAAGAAGAAGAAGAAGTTTTCCCGATAGACAGATGCATGGGTGACAACACCATATCAGCACAAAGAGAGACGTTTTTTTTTTTTCTCCTCTCTCTTAAGTACTGACCCTGCATGATCGCAAGAAAAAGCAAACAAGGAGAAATTAGAGCTTGGAACCCTTCAACTGTAAATGCTGCACTCTGTGAACTCGTTCGTACCTCAGTGATGAAAAAAACCATATACTTTCACTAATTTTCTACAAAAATCTCAATGACTACTGAGAGGATTTTAAAAAAGGTACAAAGGAAAGCTGGAAAAGCACAGCTATGGGGACAGAGTAACTACCAGAACCATAACATCTGGAATGAGGTAAGGGATATATATCATTATATCAATTGATTGAATCTGGTTTAGTACTAAGAACAATGAATTGGTTTTACATAATTTTGTGTGTTCCATTGTTGTAGAAATCATAAAAAGGTACACCTTCTAGAATGGGATTTCATGGTAAATGGTATATATAAAAAGTTATCATAACAGCATCATACAATTCATGTAATCCGCAAACAAGGTTTGTTGTTGTTATTGTTGATAAAGCTAAAATAATTAAGCAAGGACACCCTCCAATAACAGATACATAAAACCACAGCTCGCAACAAGAAATGTAAAAATGAATAAATAATCATGAGGATTCCCAAAGGTATATGCTGAAAAGCATACCTTGGATGGTTGTGGTCCCCCTCTTAATGCCTGCAGAAACTTTGTAATTGTCAAACTTTCTCATAACTGGTAAAGGGTTGAAGCTATTCATAAACAATTTCCAACAATATATTTACAGGAAGTGGAAAAACAAGACGAAAACAATGAAGCCAGTGGGTTCAATTACAGAAGCCAGCCCTAGCAGCAAGCCGTTGTCCAAGAATATATGAGCAGCTAAACAATACAGACTATAAAAGCAGGATGGACAGACAATCATTTTCAAAGTTGAAATTAACTTTTAGTCTTTTGAGAACACAAAGGTTGCATTCTAAAGCGAAAGCCAGTACCTGGTGGCTTATGAACTAGTTTACTATAGCTCATACGAAGGACCTCGGCCTACTTCAAGTTCAATACACATCTCAATCCCCTTTGAGATGATCAGGGAAACCGAGAATACGTATTTTATATGAAAGTACTCCCATTTTAGCATTTTTATTGTGATGATCTACTCCAACTCTACCTACATCTCAATCCCCTTTGGCTCTAGCTGGAGAAGCAAAAAGATGCATCGCAGACAAGGGGACAGGCCATCGACACTATCGAGAATAAGACCAGTTGGCCTTAACAAATAGAATCAAAGAAAGTTCCCTTGTAAAATGAAGATCCACAATACGGACATTCGAGGAAAGGATTCCCTTTAGCGTGGGCAAAAGAGATAGAAACTCACGGTGTTCCATTTATTTTTCCACTTCTCATAGGAACAAGAGGTGGAGTGGAATGGAGCGAGATGGGTAGATGCAGTGATTGACGGAACCGCATATGTCTTCCGGCACAAGACATTGCGCCAACGGGAGATTTGCATATCGGAGGATACGCGGGGCCTTTCTTCGGGGAAACCTTGTCATGTGCACAACAATACCGCACATCGGTTCAGGCAAGTGATCGAGCATTTGACGACGTCGTTTATGGAAGATACATGGCTGTCCGGCGTAGTGACTTAAATTAGTTGTTAGATTGAATTGTATCGTGTTAAAATTTAAAAATTCCTTACAATTGAATTAAAAATATAATGATGTTAACTTTTTTTATTTTTTAAAAAATAGAAGCATGCAAGTTGCAACTTGAAACGATGTGGTTAATGGAAGATAATATAAGTCAATTTTTTATAACTCGTTGTTGAAGTTATTGAGCCGATTAAGTTTTTTTTTCCCCATAAAAATTACGATGCTATTTAAATTTTAAAAATAATTAGAATATGAACCATAAAGGATTTTTAATTATATTTTGAAACTAATTTGAACAATTCCTGGCAATAAATAATAAAAAATGTTAATAAAAATATGAAAGGCTGAAACTACACGAGCATGTGTTAATTTTAAAACTCATGAAACCATGAATGAATTTTAAAATATATAAATAATAATTTTTTTGGTTATAATCAGACCTAAAATATTTGTGATTTTTATAAAATTCAAGCTAATAAATGCTCTAAAAACTATTCATATTTTAAATTTAAATCAAGACAAATGATATTTAAAATCTTTTCAAGAAAATTTATCATGATGATAACTTATCAATTTTGCATGGAATATTATCTTGTGAAAATACATATATGTTGTTGTTAAAAGTTAAATCTTAACTTGTTAAAGTTTTCTTTGAAGTTTAATAAATTAAGATTCAATTTTTAATAATAATATATATATATGCATATAATTAATGAGTTCTTATTATAATAAATTTATTTTGAGAGGCCTTTTTTTTTTAAATGAGAAGTGATATAATGAAATCAAAACAATTTACATTGAAACAAGATTCAGAGAAGACTTTCTTTCATCATCCACCACCTTAATATAGCAAGGTGAGGGTTGATTAAAAATACTCCAAACATTTAGATGATATTGGGCATCACCAACTGCGTAATGTACACAAAAATTGACCTCCATAAACATAAAATTAACAAAAACAAACCAATATCTGCATAACATCATATTAATCTCGTTAATAACATCCTAAAATGGGTGTTGAATAGTACTTCTATGATGAGGGAGGTCAAAAGGCTCAGCAAAATCAGTGAAAACTTAAATGTTGTGGTGCCTTTTATCCCAACATAGCAGTTCGGGTGTTAAATGTTTTCCTCCCTTTAAAAAAGTTTTCGGGGTGTACAAGGTGAAAACTCGAAAGCCAAGGCCAACATGAGAAAACGGGCTCTGGATTAAGTTCTGGGCCATCAACACCCGACGCCGAACCCTCTAGTTTTGAGTGGGACGGACGCATGGCATGGAGCACGCGTGAAAAGACATTGACTGGACCATGATGTTCGGGTCATGAAGAAATCTCGGATGAGAGGAGGATAATTTTTTGTTTCTCGATTTCTTTATCATTCTAACCCAGCCGAGATGAGCTTAAGTAATGCATATTTCAAATCAGATTTTTCATAAAAGACTAATGTGTGTAGGGCAGTTTCTATTTGGGTTGGGTTAATTCCAACTGTATATCCAAACTTATTAAAAAACTTATATATTCAAATCTAACTCAAATACCTTCAATTTATTTAAAGCGACTGAATATTCACAACTTTTTAAACTCATTTTTTTAATATTTTTTACTATTTTTAATTTTAAATTTTTCAAGCAGTATAAGTACAACAAAACATTCTAAAATACAAATCATAAAAAATTACATTTTCATCATTACTTTTTCCAGGCCATTTGAAAACTTATCAGCGTCCTCAGCTATGACGGCAGGTAGCCAATACTGGAACAATTTTCACCATCTTCCTCTTCTTCCTTCATTTAAACTCATCACCACCATAATAATGTTATTCTTTCTCATATACCCTTACGTTTCTAGTTTCTTCGCCACCACAACAGTATTATTCTTTCACAAACTTCTCTTCCCATCTCTTCTCATCAATTCACCAAACAAGACCTTCAATTTGGAGATGGCATCACGTTTAATTCACTGCAGCCTTTAAGAACATCAGAGAGCAACAAAAAATAATCAGGATTTATTGCCAATAGCAAAAATTGTTAATTTCCTTAATCAACAGATCTAAGATCGAGGGAAAGAAGAACGAAGCTGAGCAAAGAACCATGCTGGATTTGAATCTGAATCTTGCTTCTTTATCAGATCTGAAGTCTGAACCAAGCTGGGCTGCATTGATTATATTGAAGAAGAAAGAAGAAGAACGAAGCTGAGCTAAGAAGATCAGTCTTGAGCTCTCCGGTTTGTCGAGCGAAGAACGTTGCCATCGGCCGAGCAAAGAAGAACGAAGGTCGCCGTTTGTCGATTAGAGATGGTCGTCGTTTGCTCGGCTACTTGCTGTTGCTGAAGAACGGAGAAGCTGCTGAACATGGTCGCCATTTCCTTTTGCTGGGTGCTTGCTCGCTACCGCAGTTCTGCTGGTAAATTCATTTTCCCCAAAAAAAAAAAAAAAAAATTTTCCGGGCGTTGGCGCTCGAAATTTCTTGGTTTTATTTAGGCAAATTTTTAAAGAGAAAAAATTAATCATTTAATCCTTTCACTTTTAATTTATTTATTATTCATTTTTTTAACCATAATTCGGTGTGATTCAGTTTCTCAACTTTTGATTCACTTATAATTCAGTCTTTATTTTTTATTTTTTTTAATTTTTTATCAAATAAGAGAGATAAAAAAATGTTCATATGTTATTTCAAAATACCCTCCTCTTGCTCATTAATGTGAAATATAAGCTAACATAAAAAAAATTAACAAAAGTTAAAAGACTAATTTGTAAATGATTCAAAAATTGATGGATTGAGTTATGGGCGAGTTATAATTGAGGGATTAAGTCACAGCGAGTCATAGTTAAAGGATTGAATTACAAATGACTTAAAAGTTAAAAAATTAAAAGATTAATTTTTTTTAAAAAATTGCTAAACTCAATTTTAAAATTTTTCAAACTTAATTGAGCTGATTTGAATTACTTGCTATACTAATGTGAAATGTCTAACATCATATTACTCTCTTCCAGCCACAACATTAATTAGTCACTTTTTAAAAGCATCTCTGTTTTAAAATATATTATATTGAGTAAATTTTATTTTTTTATTTATACTTTTGTCTTTTTTAATTTCTTGTTTTTAGATGTTTCATATTTAAAAATTATGCACATGGTATTAAAAAATTTAATAACATAAATGAAAAGATGTGAATATTTTTTAAAAAACAAGACTTCAATTGACATTTTTTATAAATTGTAAGTTGGTTAACAATGACAAATACTTTGATCTAGAAAGAGTAACAAACAGTGTAATTCAAGGAGAAAAAATAAAAATAATCTTTCAATGACAATTAAAAAAGAAACCACCCTGATAAATATATATATATATATATATTGATTTTAAAATTTCAATGTGCCATTTATTCATGGTCCAACCATGCGGTGTTGTGTTTAAAGTAGCGTTCAGATTACAGCTGGAGAGCTGGAGAACAGGTAATGACCCCAAAGCATGACATTCAATTAGTATATATGATTAAAGAAAAATCATTCACCGTCTGTGAGTTGTGATGACTTTTAGTTAGATAATGAATGTGTGATGTAATAATTAATATTGAAGTTATGCAGTACATGAGAAAATGTTTTGGTTAAGAGAAGCAGGGGATGAGAAGCGAAGTGTTGAAGCTGAGAGGAAGTAATAGGTAATTGAACCATGAAAACTGGGTTCGGATCCTCTCATCATCCCTTCTGTCCTTTTCTTCTCCTCATCCTCATCTCCACGTTTAAACAACAAAATAAATGGTTCATATTTATTTATTTATAAAATAATTATCATATAAAAATAAAAATAAATTTTAACTGTTAAAATTTAACCTGGACAGTTTACAATTGTATACTGTTATTAAAAAAATTTTATTTATTTTATTACAGTTACAAACCATGCAAATTAAATTTTAACAATTCAAAATTATTTATTTTATTTTTAATATAATATTATGATTATTGTTTTATAAAATAATTAAATCTGGGCCATCCATTTTTTAATCAAAGGTGGAGATGGGAATGAGGAGAAGAAAAGGAGAGGAAGGACGAGGAGAGGGATCTACTTCCTAATCAGCATGTACAGGGGCACGCAAATAAAACTAAATTCACAGACCAATGAATGAGTTGATAAATGATAATGGTTGGTTTTTAATAGCGATGATAGGAATATTCTGTACGAGGGTCAGCGAAAACCTTACACAAGTGACCGAAATAATTGAGCGGGATCGACCGCAAGGGAGCCTCTTCAATTAGCTAAAGTGAACAAGCTGGGTTTTGTTCTGTTGATGTTGAATATTATGATGATGGGAGCACCTAAGTCGTACCCGCCACACACATGAATAGACGGCCTACTCTCCGTGGCAGGTGGCCACAATGATGGTCCACATGTATTTATCAACGAGTACAAGTACTCTCCATGAAATCGTATTGTTGATAAATGGGTGGACGTGCAGAATGTTGTTGAAAAATGAACGAAATACAGGAAGGAATCGTATATGGATCAGTATTGCATACAAGATAATGGGGAACACGTCGTGAGAATAAGCACGGTACGGCTGGGAAGGCGGGGATTGCTGGCCTTTCCTCGTCTTGAGACGACTCTCGCGACCTCATTCGCTCTTCCTCCTTTTGCACTTGTCGTTTTAGTGTTGCCCGTTCAAGTCTAATTTATGGGGAACTTCAAAATTCGATGAAATCTGGGGACAAATATCCCATCACTCGGCCATGAAATTCCGTAATTTGCGGACATAAAAGCTTTAAGTCAGTTCCATTTTTTTTTTAAAAAAAAAAAAGTGGTGCCAGAGCACTGATGGACTGTTACATTCACTTGTTTCTTTCTCTCTTTCTTTCTTTCTTTTTTGTTTAGATTCCCTCTCTGAATTCATGAGAATGACTAATGAAGTGAAAATTGTGTAAATCTCGCGTGAATACAAATAATCGATTGATAATAAGTCCACATGTATTATGGAAGATCTCGGGAGAGAGGGGGCCGTGTCTTTTTTATTGTCGTCCCTGCGAGGCTGCCGTCCTGGCTCCCTACTTGCCACCGTGTAATCATCGAATCTGCGAGCTAATCCCGCACGCAGGGTCCCACCTCCACCCTGTATCCTCAGCCCCCCATGTCTTCCCCGCTCAGCTCTACTAGGATTCTATTTCTTTTTCTTTTTCTTTTTCGCTAGACTTTCATTTAGTTAAGAAACTAGAGAAGTATTACTCTGTGAGGGATGACCGAATGATCGCCTCAGTGCTCGGACGGATCCATCTTTTTCCTTCTACAAACAGGAAAAAAAATATTATTATATCATCAATAACGACTAACGAGTGGGTATGTGTGGCCCAGGGAGAGTGAGAGGCACGCGCACTGGCACAAAAACACGCGCTGCAGGAACCCCAAAACGGAAAGCACATTAACTAATTAATTAATTATTTTAAAGAGAGTGATCGATCGAGACTGCTCTGTTATGTTCACCCCCACAAACAGCGCAAGTAGCGGGAGGAGCTTCAACTGTTGATGTAAATTCTCTCTTCTCCTATCACCCTTTCTCTTGTTCCCTGTTGGAGAATTCCGAGAAGCAGATGGGAGGCTGTGCCACCAAGCCCAGGGTGCTGAAGGGTGATGATGCTGCGGCAAAAGCACCCGAACCTCCCCAGGACGAGTCACTCCTCGACAAAGCTCAACAACTCCAGCTTCCCCACTTTGCAGGCGACGATTCTTCCAACAAACGCCATTCTCTCAGCTCCCTGTTCACCCAGCAGGTCTTTTATCCTTTTTCTTTCGCCATTACTTACTTTTCTCTTTTCTTCTCCCTTTGTACAACTCAGGCAGATCATCAAACTGGGATCCAGATCCCTTCCTAAACTCTGCATGAATCCCAAAGCCGAAACATTCTCTTGTTCTACTGCTTTTTGGTTTTTCACATCTTTTCCTAGAAAAAGAGTTATGCCATCCTAGATGAACAAGGTACTGTGTTCCTCACTTTTTTTTTTTTAAATAACTCTCTCTCTCTCTCTCTCTCTCTCTCTGTTTTGTTTTTTTTTTACAAAAAAGGACTGATCAGTCCGAGGCACAATTAGGCGCGCGTATATATAGTTATATTAATCCAGGCATCTTAAGTTGAAAACTCTGCTGCGTTGTGTGTTTTTAAAGCCGAAAGTTTTGCGTGTGCGGTTCATTCTTCTGTCGGAGTGGGAATAAATCGATGAGAGCTCAGGTGTGACGGTGGGAGAAGATTCCGTGGGAGGCATCATGAGCATTACGTCAAAGGCGAAACAGGCCATTGATGAGAAACCAGAGCCTGTGATTATTGGGAGGGCCCCTTACGTTATCACACCGTCTTTCCCGTTTAAATTTCAAGCGCATGTGCTTCATGAATGAGCTTTTTCGCGCGTTTTCTCCGAATCAGTGTGTCGACTCGTAGAGCTAGCAACATTCATGATGATGGCATCCAAAAGGTCGTCAAACGGAGGTCTCAGATCACGACACCGTGTCCGGCTTTTTATTACTTTCTTGCAACATGTTTTGGGATGGGGTCACATTAATCATGGAAACCACGCTTACGAGGTTGATCCGTCTCGATTTCTGATTCTTTTTTTAATCCTTTTACATGGGTTGGTGTTTAATGTGTCAGAATGAAGACGGAACGGCGGCTGCAGAAAATGGGAAGGTCGCTGTCTCGGCGGAAGAGACAGCCACACAGGAAAAGCCGGGAGCTGAGAAGCCTTCATCAGAAGACAGTGAATGCCACGAGACCCTAACACGAGAGTTTGCAGAGAAAGCTTCAGAGGAACTTAAGAGCAAAGAGGAGTCTCGAGAGGTAGAGGAGGAGAAACCTTCAGGGGAATGTCAGAGTCAGAGCACCGAGGAAATCCAAGGAGAATCAGCAGACGTGGCGGCGGAGAAAACTTCAGAGGAAACTGGTAGCAATGAGGTCGTTATAGGAGAATGCGCCGAGGCGATGGTCCAGAAAATTTCAGGGGAAACTGAAACTGAAACCGAAAGAAACAACATTGTAATCAAAGGAGAATCCACGGACGTGGCAGTGGAGAAAATCTCAGATGAAACTGAGACTGAAAACAATAAGGTAATCCAAGGAGAATCTGCAGACGTGGCGATGGAGAAACCTTCAGAGGAAACTGAAAGCAATGAAGTAATTAAACAAGAATGCGCAGAGGGGATGGGGGAGAAAATTGGAGGGGAGACAGAAACTGAAAGCAATAAAGTAATTAAACAAGAAACGGCAGAGGTGATGGTGGAGAAAATCTCAGGGGAGACAGAAACTGAAAGCAATGAAGTAATTAAACAAGAATCCGCTGAGGTGATGGGGGAGAAAATTGCAGGGGAAACTAAAACTGAAAGCAATGAAGTAATTAAACAAGAAACGGCAGAGGTAATGGTGGAGAAAATCTCAGGGGAGACAGAAACTGAAAGCAATGAAATAATTAATGAAGAATCCGCAGAGGTGACGGGGGAGAAAATTTCAGGGGAAACTAAAACTGAAAGCAAGGAGGCAATGAAAGGAGAATGTTCAGAAGAAGAGAGAAAACAAGAAATATTGGAAGCTGAGGATCCTAGGAAGGAGGAGGTGGAGGAAAGCAAAGAGAAACGTGAAAGCAACGGGACAGGGAAACAAGAAGATGCGGGGATGGAGGTGGAGGAAACCGCTGGGAGCGTAGATGGAGTTGTGTTGAACTGACGGCCAAGGCGGACTAGAAGAGTTGGGGCCATGACTTTCAGCCAGGCCCACCATCCGCAAAAGCCTCCAGAATCCTAAGCTTCATGGGCCCCCCCTCTCTGCTCATTTGTTTCACCATTCCTTTGAACCCCCCCCCACCCCTTCATTTCCCCATTTTGGTTCTGTTTGAATTTCGTTTTTTTAAAGAAATAAATAAAACTTTGGTCGTGCTTTCGCGATTGGATTGGATTGTTAGGTCAGAAATCAAAAGGATTCAATCTATATCGATATTTTATAGGGCCTTGTTACGTATGTGTATGCCCATGTATTTTAGTATTTATTATAACATCACTGAAATTATAGCGAAAATCATTGAGGAATAGGGAATATGAATGAGTGTACCAAGTTAGTTAGCAGGATATTGTTTTTAAGGTTAGGGATCAATATGATAAAATATTTACAAAACGCATGACGTAGAACAAAAATCTAGAATTGACCGTTCGCTTGTGGTTGAGTGATGAGCCGGCCGGTGTTTGTATCTATTAGTTTATGATAATTGATATCGGGGAAAGCCAAGCCGGCGACTCGCGAGCACCCAATGCTGTGGCTGTAATATTCTGTGATATGAAGGGTCTAAATTCAACGTTACTTTGACCTCAGTGGTATGCTATAATGTTTCATGACATGTGCTTGTGGCGATGTCTCCATCATTGCTTTTTTATGAGAAGCTAGGTCGGGGCTTTGATTTCCATTTCATCTATTAATTCTGTGATTGCTCAGTCTTCCTACATTCTCAATACGTACACGAATTACAATTTATATATATGACATGCATAACCCGTGCTTCTTTTTTTTTTTTTGGAAGGAAACAAATAAAAGGATATATTAATAACCAAAATGTTTAAAAGTACAACGGAAATACTATCAGATAAACAAGGAGAAAAACCATGCCTTGAAAAGTAAAGATTACCCTCTAAGACAACAAGCTGAGTAAAAGTATTACAATATAGGGAGAGTTATGTCTTTTGATAAAAACATCGCACGAAGCTCTGAAAGCAGTGTAGATTCAGTTTTTGATTACTAAGTTCATGATCTTCTTGGCAACAAAGTGTCCACCATAATGCGAAGTCTGAGACAATTTCGACAACATGGACCAATTCCGCAATTCGACACCCCTTGATTTTCATTCACACCTGTATATAGAAGTACTTAAATATTTGGCAAAGCTGAACCATCTCGTCGCGCGCGCGCGCGTATATATATATATATATATATATTCTGTACATATTTGCTTATAATCCGATTAAGTTTTCCCGACCCTTTCAATCCACATACAACCAGAATGAAACAAAAAACATTAAGAATTCAACGACAAATTAACTATAAAGTATTATACAAATTAATTAAGGAGGAGAATTTGGAAGGCTTTCCGATCTTAAGATATGAATGCCTCAACACAAATGACTGCAAAATTAACGTTACTTTAATTTGCCTATACTTATACACTGACAGAACTTTGAAAATATTCCAAATTCGCACCATATACTTTTTCAATATATATATATGTATATGTATATGTATATATTCCGAATTTGCCTGTACTTTAATTTGCCAAAGTAGGGTTTTCAATTTACCTATATGTATATACACAGGTCCGGATGCCCCACCGTTCTAGCACGATCACACTCCTGATGCCACCTCTAAGTCACGTGAGGCTTTGGGCATTTGCTCTCTGCTCTTTCCCCACAGCACACTGTATAGTCCTATCACCAAGATCAATCCTCCTAATAGGCTACAAGAACAAAAGCAACCATCGTTATTGGCATATATATATATATATCTGCATTTCAAGAATTAAAAAAAAAACAAAGGAAAAAATCGTTACTTGGTTAATAATTACCTTCCTAAACTAATGATCTCGCCTAGCAGAATTGCTGATGAGAAGATGGTTATGATGAGAGCCAGTGGAGTCGACATGGCCAGAAACACCGGCCCTTTCTTCTCTATAACCCATGTTTGCAAGTAGAATGTCACCCCCGTTACCATTATTCCCTGTTGCACCAATGTGGATCAATATATAAAGATCAGTCACGATCGAGCAAAACAGATTAAGAGTTTAATTAGTGAGAGCACATAGAGAGGGGGAGGATAATTACGCAGTAAGCCACGGCAAGGAGTCTGACATTCCAACCCAACTTCCATTGCTGAATGTCCCTTTCCACGGCAAAGGCGATGGCAAAAGACTGAATAGAGCTTAAGAAACACTGTAGAGTTGTGAGAAGCAACTTTGAAGGGTACCCTTTTATGACAAAGGCCTGCTTTTGCCACCAAAAACCCCATTACAAAAGGTGATCTATATATCTTAATTTGTCATGTGTGAAATATGAGAAGATCAATCATTTATCACACAGGTAAAGTTAAAAGGAAAATAAATAATTAAAGATGACCTGCAGTACGAGCCATAGCCCCCAACAGGTGTTGGAGAGGAGCATGAAGAAGCAACCCTTTATCCAGGTGCCAGATGGAACACTATGAGCTCGTGCATTGGAATGAGAATACCCCAAAATGTGATGATGCCCCAAAAGTTGCCAGTGAGGTCCTTTGTAAAAGGCGAGGGTTGCCGCACCGCCCAAGCATGCCACTATTCCTACCATCTTTGCAATCCCAGGTGCTGTTTTCGCTTTCAGACTTTCAATCCTGTGCAAATAAAAAGAAAAGCAATTCAGCATTTCTCTTCAACAAATTAAACACAAGACATTCATACAATGTGTTCTCTTTTTAAGCAATTCCCGGACACGTGACCACAAATAATGTGTGGTGCCTGAGTGCTTCTTTTATTTGGGAAGACTTGCCGATTTTTACTTTATTAAGGATGCTAAATAATATATAAAATATATATTCACAACACGAACAAAACTCGATATTTTTTAAGATCTCGTATTGAGCGTATTGTCCAAAAGTACGTGACTGCTAATTTCAAAGAACATGGGTAACCTGAAATGAGCTAGGTTTTGTTTTATTCAGATGTACACATGAACCATGTTGGAGCGGATCGTACTGGTCCAAGCTGGAGGTCACCGGACACGGGATAAAACAATGTTGTGCCCTGGAGAGAATTTTTTACCTTATCGATCGGAAACAACATACCGGATTAGCTTTCCTCCCAGGCTAACATGAAATCTTGCTCTAATTAACTTACTTTAGAAATATTATTTTCCAAATTTGATTAAAATATAGATGCTTTTTGTTTGTTTGTTTGTTTGTTCCATATACACGTGTTCATATGAAATGTCACACAGCTAGAAAGCCAGTACATATGTGGAGTTGTTTTAGTTTCTTTCTTCAAAAAACAGAAAATTTGATTAAAAAAATAGTCGTTAGGGTAGCGACTTGTACATGGAAAATTAATGTTTCATTATGTGCAACCATGCATACGTACACACACACACACGGATCCAATCCGTTGTGGGAGATTAAAGAGTAGTTCGAACTAATGTTGCATTTTTTAGGTTTGGAAAGTCTAATTGCATGCATGCTTAATTATCGGAGTCTTATTAGAGTTGGCACAGGAATCTCAATTTATAAAAAAACACTTGCACAAATATTTAACAAAATTTTTCAGAATTCAACTCACGCTCTTGTAAAATATGAGTAGGATTCTTACTGATCAGACTAACATTCATTAGCTAATGTAATCTCCCTTTGAACATAATTTGTGCAAGAAACTGTCTCTAGTGTTTAGAATCTGACTGTACTCTAATGTAAGCTTAACGATTAACAAGCATGTTTTAATTGCAGCTGGCCGAGTATTTGGACGTTCGATTTTGTTGTGATTTACGTACTAGGTGATGAGAAGTCACGTCCCGAAATATTCATGAAAACCTCTACCGGTAGCTAGAATTACCAAGATATATAACTATATACGCGCGCCAGCATATATCCCCGTGCCTTTAAATTTCGCAACCCTTCGTTTATGATCTTATGAAGCACGGATATTTTAAAAAGTAAATGTATCCGTATTCGTTACATATCTTATGTGATATTTGTAGAATATTTCTGTATATATATATTCTAGCAGTTGCAATATAATTTTTTTAATAATTTTTTATTATATCACTTAAAACTTAATAAAACACTTAATATTTTGGTTGATTGTTATAAATATCCTTATATTACTTTAAAAATACTTGTTTAAAAATCAAAATACATATACCTATGTCATAAAATGTTGAAATACATATTATAAATGTCCTCGTACTTACATCCTAAAATTTTAAAAATTTATTGTATCGCCGTATCATGTTGTATCATATCAGATACTCATACTCGTATTTATACAACCTAATTACGATCCCTTATAATTGATCGGGGGATCGAGATATGGTCCTCAAGTCGAATTTGTTGGGGACATGACTTGTGAATGAATTGTCATGTAAGGAAAAGAGAGAAGATTAAATAAATATAATTTCATGAGATGGATGCCTGTGGAAGATATGTGTGTTAAGAAATGCGATCAAGTTTGAGGCAGGCGATGTACCTGAGCAGAAGGGCAAAGAAAAAAGTGATGACGGGAAGGCAGTTAGTAGTAGCAGCAGCCAAAGTTGCAGACGTGTAAACAAGCGCAATCCCATAAATGTCCAGGCTCATGGTTATCCTGAAATTGATCGGGATCACCGACACGGATTTGGAAACAAACAAAAACCTTGAATGAATAATGGCAATCAAATCACAGCAATAAATCAAGAATGTCACGAAAGACTCCGAAACCTATCTTCATCCATATGTCATATGAACAGCCCACCCTTAATAGTTTCAAAAATCAGACAGGCAAACCATCAATCGCACCAGAAATTAACACGAACGGGACATTACCCCAAGAAGGAAAGAAAGAATATCTTGCAGAAGGTCGCGAATGGCAAGGGCGGTGCATTTTTCCTGCAACCGAAGAAATAATTTGCATTGATTGCATAGAAATATACAAGCCGAACTCCATGACTGGCGAGGAATGAAAAGGAGGTGAAGTGATACAGTGGTGGAGAAAGACACGAACCGTTCGAAAAAGAAAGCGAGAGGGGCGAGGAAAATGGTGGCAGCGGCCTGTCGATAGAAGACGAAGATGAAATTGTTCATGCCGTGGTCGAAGGCAGCTTTAGAGAGCAGGAACATGGCAGCATAAATTGTTTGAACTATGAGGACGACCAGATAGGGCTTGTTTGGTTCCATGGATATGGGCTGTGAGGGTTCGAGTGATGGATGAGTGAGATATAGGGATAGAAGGGAGGGAGGTGTGGGATGGAGTGTTAAGAGAGCACACAAGTTCCGGCTTTTATGGGCAATCAAAGGGACAAGTTGGAGAAGGACATACGGTGGCGTGTGTGTGTGGTGATGAAGATGATGACCTGCTTTTCATGTTGGGGACCACCCTCACCTTCCTCTGAGCGCGTCTTCTTCATCTTCCCTTCTCTAATTACATATTTTTTCGTCTCTAACTCTCGGTTCCGGAACTCCCACTCATAATCAATCTGCAATTATGTATTTATGGGTGCGACATGATATGATTTGTGTCCACTCTGTTTAAAGACTCCTGGATATTTTCCTCTTCTTTCATGGAATTTCTTGCACTTCAATTTATATCTAATTAATTAATATCTAACTAACTAAAGTAATCTTTAAAGAGAGTCAAATATTACCCCTTGCTGCTTGCAGTGCATATCTTCGCTTGTGCTCCTACTTCCTCTAACTAATTAATTTAATTTCTTTTGCCCACGTTGTCCTTTGCTTTCCATCACGTGTCCCTCCGCTTCCTTCCAATTATTAATCTCTGGCCACGTGCAGGTCAAAGGGCCAAAAACAAGTCTTTATGGCCAGCACCGAAAATACTTTTTTTCCATCTCTGTTTATACTTGTAGTCTTACTTTATTTAAATGATTAAATTATATTTTTAATCCTTTTAATTTTATATAAAATTTTAATTTAATTTTTTAATTTTGTAAATTTTTTTGCTCCTTTATTCCTATTATTATCAATTTCAAATGATTATTTTTTTATTTCAATCATTATTATTTTAAAAAATTCAACTTAATATGTCAACATTTGAAAATATTTTATCAACATTTAAAAGTTTAATATAAAAATTTATTGAGATAAAACTAATAATATTAAAATTAAAAAAAATTAAAAATATACTTTATAAAATTAAAAGATTAAAATAAAATATTATATAAAATTAAAGATTAAATATATATTTTAGTCTATTTAAGTTTGTTTTTTTAATTTCATTTCAAAATTCTATAACCTCGAATTTGAAATAAAATTAACTTCTATATTTATTTTTTGATACGTTCAAGTTTTAGTTAAATTTTACCTCTTAATTTCGTGACCTCAAACTTTAATTTTTTTTCATTCCTTAATTTTATTTTTGATATTGTCGGACTTATTAATTTTATCTCATGTTAATTTTCGTCTCGTCTATGAATTCTACTTTAATTTGAATATATATAATTACTCTTCATTAAATTAATTTCAGATCTTATTAATCTGCACTCGTTAAGAAAAAAATCAAGAAACATACTAAAATTTCAAATAAAAAGTAGGGGGAACGTACTTTTATCATATCCTTTAATTTCATCAGAAGGCGACAAAAATCTTCACATTTGTTTATTATACTCTACTGTAATATTCCATCCATCTCAAATTATAAAATATTTATAAATAAAATTTGCCATTCTAAAATATAAGATATTTTAAAAAAATGAGTTTTATTAAATATACTTATTGATACTACTGTCGAATAGCATCAAAATTAATAAAAATTAAATTTTGCAGTAAAGTATAACCTATGTCGTCTTCCTAAAAGTTAATAGAGTAACTATTAATAATGGGAGGGGATTTTTTATGATGGAATTAATTTAATAAAACTAAATTAAAATTAAATAAATAAAAATAAATTCAACTGAAAAATTATCAAACAAAAATAGCGTAATCAATTACAACTCAATCACCTAAATTTAATCTTTCTTGTCTACAAAATAAATTAATTTTATTTAATTTTATTATTCTATTTTTATTATATATTTATCAAATTATCATTTAAGAATTAAATAATAAATTAAGTTATAGATTAATTAAAATCTCTCTTAACCCACAACCTAACAACTATTCTAAGTTAGTCACATCAAAAATAACGTATGAATAATCACTCAAGTCAAGCTAAATTACTTTTATGATGCTTTATTAATTGATTATAGAAAGTTAAACCTCAGATAAAATTTATAACTTAAAAATCGTGGAATAAAACTACTATAATCAACAATAGCAATTAAAGTATAAAATTCAGAAATAGAGAAGATAAAAGCAAATTGAAATAAAACTAAAATAAAATCTTTTTAAATATCAAAAACTCTGATTAAAATTTAGAATCATGGTTTATGATTGATCACACCAATAATTTAGCTCTCTATAAAATTAAAAATCAGACTGCACAGCATAAGAAATTTGAGGAGCCATCGATCAACGAAATTGAAAGAAAGAAGACGAAGGACGACCCGCGCCACCACTCTGTTTTCCAATTCTTCAGTAAAAGAGACAAAACTACCTAAATAATCCTGGTTGAAAATGACACTAAAAATCCTAAAATAAATATAAACAAAGTTTTAAAATTTAATTATTGATTTGACCTCCAAGCGGTCCTTATTTTTTTATCCAAAATACTTTCATCAATATTTTCAAATTAAATCTAGAAATCTTCACAAATAAAATAAAATTAAATAGTAACTGTATAAAAATATTAAAGATATCATTTACTCCCTCCGTTTAAAAATGTAAGGCATTTTTAATAAGTTTTACCCTCCAATGAAGTAGTTACTTACTTTTAAAAATCATATCTTTTTATATTTATCCTATTAAAGACCTTACAATAAATATAAAGTTATTATCAATAGGAGCACTTGTAAAAAAAAAAGATAATAATTACATCTCAAAAGACTAAAAATGTCTTATATTTTTCAACTTCCAACTTTTCAAAAAATGTTTTACATTTTTGAATGGAGGGAGTATATCTTAAAATTAAAGATTTAGATAGTTAAAATTCAAAAGTTGAAGATTGGCTAATGAAATCAATTAATATTAATTGAACTCAATTAGCCTCAAATAAACATTCAAAAGTCTAAATTAAAAGGATAAAAATATATAAAATTAACATTTATCACTTATCTTAATATTATCCTTTCTCTCTCTTTAGATTTAAGGTTAATAAATGAAAGATATTTTTAAAAGTTTATCTTTTTATTTTGAAAAAATAAGGTTATTAAGTATATTTAATAGGTTTATTGGTACTCACACAGTTTAAAGAGAAAAATACTGTATCACACAATTTGAGAAAGTTGGTTAATTATAATAATTATATTTAAAAATAAAAAATTAGACTAAAATGTCCTATGTTAATCAACATAAGCTTGTATTAATTATTTCTCATTAATATAAATTATGAGGAATGATTTAAAAAATATGTAATAAATGCTTATTAGAATAGGTGATTTTGCTTATATAAAAAAACAAGTAAAAAGTGATAGTTTTTTTTACGAATAAAAATGGAGAGAATATGTAAAATTTTGTTTAAAAATATTTTATAATTTAAAATGAAAGGAGTAGTATATAATAGGACAGGAGCACGGGGACTTCAATTCAACCAATTAATGAAGAAGCATTCGTTGAAAAGGATTATGGTCCTATTGAAACGATTCTGGTGCCTTCCCTGCCCACTGATTGCTTGCCAATTTTGGCTCCCCTGTTTTTTTCCTTTTCTTTGTTCAAGCCTAGCTTGCCTTTGTATCTCAGGAAAAAAAAAATCGTTGAAAAGGACAAAATGAAGAACACGTACAATAGAGGCTAAACAGCACATGCAATATTAAAGACATGCCCTTGGTTGGAACTTGGAAGCTTAATAATAAGGGAATAGATGGCTAGGAAGCCGCAAGGCGTACTCTCTCCATGAAACGTATAAATAATTTTTAAGATAAATTCGTATGTCATTAAAGTCATCATTTTTATAAAAATATATATTATTTATTTTTAGCCTTAATTTTCAATGCACTTCATAATAAATGAAAAAATAACTTTACAAAAGAATATATGTTAATGAATATAAGAGATAAAATGAAGAAAAAATTATTAAATATACTAGATTGTTTATATTTTAAACTAAAATTAATTAAAAAAATATTTATATTTTGAATCAAAGAGAGTATGTAGTTTTACTCATCGGTATTCTCACACACATCCCATGTTCTCGTATTCACCGGTCACTACGCTAGCTCCATGCATACGATAAACTAGACTATATAAAGAGACGTTTTCCGTCTAGTTCCCGGTTAAAATAATGTATTTTGCTGCTATAAAAGTCCTCCTTCATTTAATAATTTGATTGCTCAAGGCTTTGTTCATTTAATTTGTTGACCAATAACCATAACTTGTATAATAGGCGCTCATGTGTCTTTCATTATGTGATCGAAATACATTTATCTTTTGTTCAGGCCACCCTCTACACATATTACACACGTAGTATTTATCTTTATAATTAGGGTTAAATGGAAATTTAATTAAACCCTAAAAAATTCAGGGGTGATTTATATTTTTAACTTGAACATTAAATTTAAAGCAACTTCACTCATACTATTGATGTAAAATAAATGCCTGTTACGTTTTAAATTGTGTTTTAAATTGTGGGGCTGTCATTATCGTCTCTCTCCTTCCCTCTTCTCCACTCTCTCATTGTCTCTCCTGCCCTCGCTCTCTCTCCTGCTCTCGTGGTCCATCCACTCTCCAGTCATGGTCGGAATTCCATAACCCATCTGTACGTATTGTGGTGTACACAATATATATACAAACACACGTGAGGATTCAAGAAGAAGAAGAAGAAGAAGAAACTGTGTGTGTACATATATGCATGCGTGTGTAGCCAGAGATGATTGGTGGGGGTGATTTTGATGACAAGTCCAGGAAAAACATCATCAAGATCATGAACATGGGGTTTTTGTTCTACGGTGAACGGCATGCAGACTATGGGGTTTTAATTCTATTTAAGACCCTAAATATAAAAGGACAATCTGTGTAATTGGTACTATATTAAATGAATGCTAACTCAGGCATCTTGCGCCTTAAGCAAGTAAACGTACCTATTTAAGTTCGATGATACTTTCATATTCGAAGCAATTTAGTTAGAAAATATTTACTTTTTGCCCCCATGGCCCATACTCTAAGAGAGATTAATATAGAACTCTTAGTCCTATAAAAAAAAAACAACATATTAGAGTCATTAAATGACGTGATAATTATTTAAAAAATCAATTGCTATGATTTTGCTTTTTTATAAATCTTTTCTACAATGTGATGATGGTAAAATTATATTGAACAAAACAGGCCATATGATACTATAAAACCTTAATTATTCTGCATTTTGTTGAGAGACTGTTTCTGCAGCCCCATGACCACAAAGTCATCACTAAAATTCTAAGGGAACTAATCTAATTCATTCACATTACTTTTTGTTTGGTTTTTTTTTTTTTTTCCAATGTGGGATCCACTCTGATGATTTGCGCTTTATCATTTCTAAATATTTAGGTATTAGGTAATCGCTTGGGATGGGTTTGCTTTAACTTTTTGCCTCCATTTTGTCATATACTGGTATACTATAATATTAATGGGGCATCCCCAGAAACAAATTAAACACCTTTAAACTGTGGAATACGGATCAGTCAAGCGGTCATCCTTTTTAGGTAAGCATTCTTAATCTTTTAGCAAACCCGTCCACGTCCCTAAAACTTCCGAGAAATCATCATATGCTTAGCAATCATGCATGCGACGACTTTTTTTTTATGCATGAAAAGGTTTTTGCCCTCAATATCTGGACCGATCCTTTTGGACCAAAAAATAAATGGATGGATCATTTACCTTCTCCGTCCAAGTGCCAGTCTTTCTATAAGGAATCATCAACATAAAAATTGTGCTGAAAATTAGGGATGGAGCTAGAATTTAAGAATAAAAGAGTCGAGAATAAAAAAACATATATTATAAAATTTTTATAAATTTTAATGAGGTCGAAAGTATGTAATATTTATATAATATAAAAAAAATAAAAAAAATTGAAAAGGCCGCGACTCCTATTGGCCCCCTCCCTTCGCCACTGTTTGTGAAAATAATGTTATGATCATTGTCTTCTTTTCTTGCTTTCTGCCCAGTCTAATTTGGAGTGCTTTAGTCATTTTCTCATGATTACGATATGGCCTTCGCCCTTGAAAGCAAACCCAAAGAGAAGAGATGGCTGTGTCAAAAAGGCAATGCCCAGTTGCTTTCCATGCAGATTAGCCTCAAGATTATTGATTTCCCAATCCTTCAATCCAATGGGAGACGTTTTGAAGCAGAATTACCGTCAAACGAATCGCTGCCCTGGACCATGTCTCTTTCCGCGAACTTGGAAGTTCATTTTATTTCCCCTACTGCTCGTAATTAAAGCATGCATATCGCTATTTTGTTCCATCTACATGCATTGAAATAGTGTGTTTTGACCCCTAGAGGAAATTTAATTGTGTTCCTGCCTGGGGAGGGCACTTTTTCAAACTTGAAAATATTCGTCAAAAGGTTTCAGTTCATTGCATCCTATCATAATAATGATATAGCTGGGTTATATCCATAACTATTTCCTAGTCAAATGACGTTGAAAACCAGAACGGGGAATCCTTAACACATTTAAGGAATTTGTGTTCTCGAAAAGAATATCACAATGACACAAAAATGGCACTCTGAGCACATGACGGATCATGTGTCCACATTAGGAAGAAAACACCCCCTTAAAATCTTTCTTGTTTTAATTCTTCTACGGAAGTGCCTCTCAAACTATTGGTTTATAAAAATTGTTCACTGTTGCAGTATCACGAGTTCTCATACTTCGATGAAGCTGTCTATATCAACATTAACCAAGGATGAAAGAAAAAAGTAACAGGGAAGCTGCAATAATGATTTAATGAAGTGGGATGGCCAGTCACGTGTTGACATCGTATTGCAAAACTCTCTTATCTTGAGCAACGACAAAGCGCGTGATTAGAAAGCAAGAAATTCCATTAAGGCATTCTCAATCGACAATGCCCACTAACCATAACCTGATTATTTAATGCAAAGTTCACCCACCCTCCTCTGCTTATCCTTTTCATAAAAGCAGAGACAATACCTCATCTAGCAGAGACGAGATTTTGTCTTCAAGTTTACCTTTTTATATTTCCATGTGCAAATCAAGAAAATTATGTGATGGATCTGAATTTGAAGCCTCCAGGATGTACAAGAGAGAGGGACCCATCTTTCGTAATGGACCCCAAACGTAACCCGATCCAAAGATACTAAAACTTCCCCCGGTTGGCTATTACAGTTGCAGACAGATAGCTAATTCCAAACTCCCTCCAAAGGTATCTATCATAGAAGCCAATAATGCAAATATTAATATTAATATTAATAATAAAGAACGAGGCAAGGGAGAATTGTTCTTTTGTAGTTCATTATCTGCATAGCTCCTGATGCGCTCTTTACTAACATTACGTAGAATGTTGATATCTAATTAAGGTCGAGGTTTTCCTTCTTTCCATTTGTGGAAATTGGATGGGAAATTATCAAATTGCTCCCCCCCCCCTTCTATCTTACATATAAATATACATTTAGGTAAATACAGATCCTCTTAGAGTCCTGTTGTCAGAGCAGATAGTAAGAGAAATTAGATTAACCTCTACTGTATCAAAAGTTTCTCTCTTTCAGACTTGTTTTGTTAGTGCAACAGGTCTTCTGATTGATATAATTTGTTTCTGGCTCCACCAAGTGATTCGTGGTAGAATCCAAAGAAAGAAAAATCAGCGATTGGAATTTAAAAAAAGAGGTGGGGGAGATGGCGGCTCACTAAGGATTGCCAATGCTTCTTTCACCTTGATTTTCGCATTCTACCTGTGCTTGAATTGGTAAACAAAAGTCATCACTTATCCCTTCTTTGTTCTTTGCCCACAGAACACTGTACAGACTCAGAAGCAACAGAATCCCACCAAGAAAGCTGTAAAATAAAAGGCGTCACAGTAAAATAAATAGCAGACAGAGATCTCGTCGACTCATCCTATGCCTTTCCTAAGCCAATAATATCAATGACATCAAGGAATCATTCAACTAGTTGGAGGTCTAGGTGGATATTTAAATTTTTTAATCCCAAGCAGGCTTTCTTAAAGAATTAGTTGATTAAAACAGGATTACCTTAGCCGCCTCCATTTTCTTTAGGGCTTTGTTAAATTATACCTGATTCATCTTTTAAATTTACTTTTTCTCAATAATTCAGCTATAAATAAAATTTAATAGTGTTCCAACTGGACCTTTGAGATAAGTTGAGCAACATACCTTCCTAAATTGATCGACTCATTCAGCAGAAACATGGAACCAATAATTGTAATCATAAAATTGAGTGGGTTCCACAGTGCAGGGAAAAGTGGCCCTTTCTTCTCAATTGCCCAGGCTTGTAAATAGTAAGTAATCCCGGTCACCATTGTTCCCTATTACACCATTCATATATAATCAACTTATTCCATTACTGTAACAAATGCATGCCCTATTAACATTTTTTTTTATTTCTCAAAATCAAATCATGAGTAGTGGTTAGGAAAACATTGCTTTGATGCTTACACAGTAAAGAACAGCAAGTAGTCTCATGTTCCAACCTAGCTTCCACTCCTTCATGTCTCTTTCCGAAGCTATAGCAATACCAAATGACTGGACTGCACTCAGTAGGCACTGTAGGCTTGTGAATTTTAGTTTTGAAGGGTAGCTTATGAGGAATCGAGCCTGTTTAATGGATCGTTAGCTTCATCATCATGATAACATTTACATACACATGTAACTCATTGTAACAAGCGAAAAATCTAGAATGTATGCAGTCACACAGTATGCTGGATGTTCCTATATGTCATATTAGCTCAACATGGAATAACACAATGATGAGAGATCGATAAAGTAGGTCTACCTGAAGAACAAGCCAAATGCTCCAGGTGATGATGGCACAGAACAAGAGTAAAGAACCCAAATACCATCTTTTGGGAGAGGATGAATGATCATGATGAGGATGTTGAGTGCTGTGATCTGCAGACAGAACGGTGTGGAAGGGCCATACCTGGGGTCCCTTGTACAAAGCAAGGGTAGCTACCCCACACAAGCACACTACAAGACCTGCTATCTTTATAACTCCTAGTTTTGTCCTTACCTTCACCTTCTCCATCCTGCAGCGTCACTGGTCTCAGAGATATCTTTCATTTGTAAACATATATACATATATATATGTATATATATGCAAGGCAATTCAAATGACTAGGGATAACAAGAAGTTTTCTGTTTCTCTTTTCAGAATGCTTCATTTCTTTTTTTTCTTTTTTTCTTTTTTCTTTTTTTGTGTACTGATGTTGAAGAATGACAGTAATTTTGCATGAATTACCTGAGGAGCACAGCAAAGAAGAAAGTGAAAACAGGGAGGCTGCTAACAACTGCAGCACCCAATGTGGCAGATGTGTAAACAAGTGCAATGGCATACACATTCAGACACAGAGCAACCCTGAAAATCAAAATGCTTAATTCAGTACAAGTTTCGCTGAATTAGTTGTTGAGAAATGACGTGAATTAAAATAAGTTGCATACCCAAAAAATGAAAGTAAGAAGATCTTGCAGGAGATCGCAAAAGAGAGTGGCACTGCACTTTTTCTGGAATCCGCAATATAATATATTTCAATTCAATTCAATTATGTTATTAAAGACAGATTTAGAAGATTAAGAAAGCAAAAAAGTGAAGGCAAAAGAGGGGGGAGGGGGTAGATACGTGGTTACCGTTCAAATATGAAGGCTAAAGGGACCAAAATAATAGTTCCAACCAGTTGCCTATAAAAGATGAACACACTGCTATTCATGCCTTCATTGAATACTGCCTTGGATAACAATATCATCCCGGAATATATCAGTTGTATCAGAACCATTGCCAAATATGGCTTATATTCACCCATTTTCAGTGAAGATGATAAACGGGTGATTGCACCTTATGGTGAGTAATTATGAAGTTAAAACTCTACATATATATAGACATTATTGTCGAGTCTGGGGAAGGATCCCAAACAGAAAATGATGCATGGGAAATGAGGGGAAAATCTTGATGCCAATGCCTTCCGTAATGAACACTCCAATCCTATGGGGTTGGATTTTCAGTGTCAGTGGTGTATTTATTCTGTAAGCACTTGTATTTTTTAAATGAAGCATAATTAATAGCATCTCGTCTTTAGGCCTTTCTTCCCAATAAATTATCGTTAGCAGCTGGGCCTTGGTGATGTCGTTTAACATAACAATCTCCCCGTGTAAATTGAATATTTACTTCTTCTTTTTCTTTACCAGGGTGTAAAATGAATATTTAAACTACTAGCATATTTTTCTATGATATATACTTGACTCCTGTAAAAGCCAATTTATGTAGACAAGTTAAATGACTTTGTACAGGTTTTATAAATTTCTAGATATAGATACATATTGGGATAACAAAACTTTCAATCCTTCAATTTTGATTTAGTTATTGATTTGGTCCCTTGCATTTAATTTTAATCAATTTAATCATTTATATTTTCATAAATTATTATATCAGTCCTATAAGTTTTAAAACACAAATTAACTATTAAAGTAATCTAACTTGTAAAGTATATTGATGATTTGACATATATATATATATATGTATTTAAATGAGAATAAATTAGCTCTTAAATCAATTTATTTTTTTATCAATCTAATCCCTTATGTTGCGTTTTGTTCTTTTATTTTTTAAAATTTTTGAGTCTATTTTTTTCCTATAAAAATATTTACACTTCTTTTTATTAATATATATGGCTACCATTAATATTTTCTTATTCATGTTGGTAAATTTTAACTGTATTATCTCTTTTTAAAACAATAAAGACTAAATTGATAATTAAGATAAATTTAACAGATGAAATTGATAAAAATTAAATTTCAAGAACTGAATCAATAAATAAGCTAACTTGAAGGATTAAAAATTTCATTATCCTATACACACATACATACTTAATTACACAAATATTGTTAGATGGTATTTCATTTCTGACTAACGATATTTGCAAAATCAGGCACTCGAGTATTGCTTGCTTAATTCGAACAATTAACTTGTGAGTCCTTGAAATTTCACTTGTATTTTAATTAGGTATTTGTTGTTTTTTTAAAAAAATACAATAATAAATCTACATATTTTAATTACGTTTTATTTTTAACCCCTGTAATTTTATTTTGTTGTTCCCAGTTTAATTTGATTCGACTGTAACGACTGGTTTTTATGTATAATTTAAAAGATGCAATAAATTAATTCTGTTAATGTCATGTCATGATTTTTAATTGCAGACCAAAAAAGACCTAGGTCTCGGAGGTCAATAAAATCTGATTGGAAAATGACTAAATTGCGAGACAGTTACTTTGTTCAGCTAGATTAGATCTCAACTACTTGTATTTGCAATCGGCCTTTTGTGTGTGCATACATCAACATGGCAAGTGCAAATTTCTCATGTGCGTGCAACACTCCCTCGAACATATGCAAAACACAGTATCAGTTGCAGGTTTCTTCCATGGACACACTTTGAAATTTAGTATAGTGTATGCATGTTCTTCTGATCTATAAAAGACGGTTATTTTCTTTTCGTTTCCCTTTAATAGAGTATTTGGTACGGCTATATAAATAAAAATATAGTATAGTATTCCATCCAAAATACAATAAACTAAATAAAAAGTTAAATTATATTTATTTCTAAAAGCACTACTCGTGATTATAATAAAAACAATAACAATTGCATGGTCATTTTTATCATCCTTTCCATTATTTTCTCTTCCTTTAAGATTTCTTTTGATGTTGATATAAGACATACAATATTTTCTTATCATGCATTTTATTCAAAAGTTATAAAGATTACTTTTTATTTATAAAAAGCATATTTGCATTATCTTATTCTAATCAAGAGTCACACCACACCCTGAGACAAATTCCTTTACAGTTTAAAGTGATGCCATGAAATGAAATAAATATTAGTATCTTAAAAGTAGTGATCCTGCTGGTTCTGCAATGGTAATTTAATATTATTACTTTAATCGATCACTTGAATATTTTCACTGATGGGGTGACGTTTCAGTCAACTAAGCAGAGTACGAATATTATTTATACTTGTTTAGAAAAAATGAAAAGGGCAAAGAAATCATTTCACGTTGGGGTCTCGTTGGTTCCAGTTTGAGGATAGGAATAATGAAGATCCAAATCTCACTGGACGGAGAGAAGAGACGACATTCGTTAATCGCTATCAATTATCATGTCGACGGAATAAGTCTCAGCCTTTTTCTTAAAATAAGATGAGGAAGACTCGCATCTTCAAGTTCTTTTTCCGTTTCTTGGCACATCTTTGGTGTTCGGTTTTACTCGGTTAGAAGTTTAAGCTTTAAAACGACGAATTATCTGGTATTACTATTAAAAAATTGAATGATTTTTTTGAATTAAAATATTCCCCCAACAACCCCCCAATCACATCATCGTTTATGATTCCGGGAGAAAAACAAGTGACAGCACAACAACTCAAGAAAGAAATGAAGTTCTTATTTCTTCGTGTTTCTCTGAGAAGATGTTTTTTTAACATGTGATAACATAAAGTAATAAAACATGTTCAAATAATTTTCTCGAATTTGAATAAATAACAACTTTTCAGGATATTTTGCCTATATATATATATATATATAACTTAAGATTATAGACCAGAGAGTTCTCCCCGGCCCCATGTGTTGGATATCACCTATTTGAATTTGTTGCCTCCAATGTTCTTTCAGATCAATTTACCACAGTATATTGATTAGGCTAAAAATTATTGAATCATTTCTGGGATTCATGTAATAATTTTTTATGTTCGTGTGTAATTCGAAAGCGTCATTAAGTTTAATGATGTTTCATTTTTAGGTTGCATTTTGTATAACTTGCGTGCATGGTATAATTTTGTGAGTTGGTTGACCAGCTTCTCTGCAGATATGTCGTTTACATAATTGTTGATAAAAATAACGTTGCAGCTAAGGATTTTTTCCATTTGATCATTAATAGTTATGATTGAATAATCATTTGAAAAGGAAGTTCGCATATCACATCATTAGTGAAATTATTTTAAAAGAATGACAGTTAAATCTTAAAGGATAGAAAAAAGTTTAAAATATTGATCGATACATGCAATCTTCAATTTAGAAATTTCAATTTTTAATAAGATATTTAAGTTTTAAATGTAACTTTCATATTTAAAAATTATCTTTTTAAAAAACAATCCTTAAGAACCTAACCTAATTATCATTCTTGATTATTTTTTGAACTATCCTCACTGTATGGTGTTATGTTTTTTTTTTTTTGAAATATAGAGAGAGGGGGGGTCTCATAATATGTTAAATAAATTATTATGCTGTCATATTCGTTATCAATTCAACTCAATTTTGTGATATTTAATTAATAAGAGTGTTCGATTATGTCTAGTTAGAAGTACTAGGAACATGTTAAGTTTTGGTGAGCTTCCAAAATTTAACTCACCTAAATTTTAATAATAATAATAATAATAATAATAATAATAATAATAATAAAAGAAGTACCAATAATATGGAGGTACTGATTGACAAGTCATTGGGATAAAGAACACATTTTAAATCACTAAACTTCAGCAATAAATATTTTTTTCAAAATATTTTATATCATGAAATATCAAATTATCCAAAAAAAAAATACCTTACGGATCATTATAGGGTGGATAGAATATTTCTTTATTTGATAAAGGAGGGTTTTGATGAACCAAGTTTTTTGCCGATGTACAACTGTAGATTACAAATATTTGATTTAGTCACATGCATGATCATTATAGTCCTACGGATCATTAAACTGGGGATTTTTTTTTTTTTTTAAGCTGGCTCTACATTTATGAAGTGAGTTCTCACTTTTTTATGACATTGTTTGGAGAGGTTTGGATCATCTTTCAGGAAAGGCTTTTTATGTTGATTATTTTAAATTTTTTACATTCATTATTGAGAAGAAATAAAAAAGTTTAAAGTAATAAGTTGACTTTTCATATAGGTCATACAACCAATGCGGAAGGTAATAAACCTATTATTTACATTACTTTTGGGCCATTTAAACTTAAATATGCTAATTAATTATGATAAATTGAAGGAAAAATAATGTACGTAGCCTCACCAAAGTATTAGTCCTTCCATCCTCATATATAAGATATTTTTAATTAAATTATATAAATTAATAAAGTTACTTATCTAATTAAAAGCATAATAATATTTTAATTTTGCCCCTAATTATTATAAGTAAAAATGAATCTATTTTTTTAAAGTAAATTAATAAGGATACTTATATTTTTTTTGTTTTCAATTTAATAAAAGCATAATGATCCATTTATTAAAAAAATGTTAACAATCCCCCATAGCTAGGGATTAAAAAAGATTCTAAAAGACTTACTATATATGAAGATGAAGAGAGTATTTTTCAAAATGCAAGAAAGAAAGAAAAAAGATTCAAAATAAAGTTAAAATAGGAGATTTCATATCAAAGCCCATAAATAGGCCCAAAACCCTCCAACCAGAGGTGAATTGGATGAACCACCTAAAGACTCAACCATGACCAATAGGAGTTACTTTGAATGGTAAGCGACTTGATTTCATTTAAACAAAGTCTCAAGTTTGAGCCTTGTATATGCAAAAAATTTTCGTTGAGAGACTCAACCATCAAAGCTAGGCACGCAATGCAAGTTGAATTGGGATGTAATTGGGGCAAAAATCCGATGAATCAAGTAGGCAACTAAAAAAAAAAAGACTCAACCATGGATGAATGAGCAAAGAATTCAAATAAATCTCTCACCTTAGTTACACCCACGCCTCAACTCACGACCACAGTGCATTACTCACAACCATGCGTTGACGGAGGATTTGCACACATGGAAAGCCCTAATCTTCATAAAATAAATTGGACCGTTGGATTTAACTAAAATGAGACATAAAGCACAACGTTTAGGGTCCTTTAGGATGCAAAAATTTATAAATAAATACTAGAAACACATGAGAAGGACATTCATTAACCAAGAGGCAATTTTGAAGGCTGAGTGTGGAGCAGGAGGCCAATCTACTTCATGTAAGAGTGATTTTCTATGCTCATTTCTTCTTCCATGCTTATTAGTCTGATGGGTTTAGGGATTGTTATGGCTGAAATTATGTTTGGTTTCTAAATTCTAGTCAAGGTGGGAAGTAGCTTGATGGAGATGTTTATTCTATTTTCTTACTTTGATTTTATATCCTATTATGCTAGATTTATTGTTCTGTGACTCTGTGAGAGTACTTATTCAATATTATTTATTTTTTCCTTATTCTTCAATTTTAATTTTATATCTAGCCAATATATTATTCGTTTATCGACTTGCTTGATGAATTGAAATGAGAAGAGTGAACCAAAACCTGAGAAAGTAATCATAAATAACTAGATTAGGAATGATTTTGGAATTTATGGCAGTTGTAATTGTATCTTAATGGTTTAAGTAGAGGTGGAGCAAGCAAAAGCTAATTCAACTTTAACTAAATACAACATAATCCATTGAAAGGTAACTAAGTCAACTTCATAATGGTGATTGCTTTAATTGAACATGAATTTTCTGTAAATAAGAGTAGGACATCCCGATAGATAAATCTGATCCTTGGTGCTTTATCATTGAGTGAATTACCAGTTAATTAGTTTTATTGAATTATTTTCTTTAATTCTATTTTGTTTAAATTTACTTAATTTAATATTCTCTTTCAAAAAATCATTAATGGTTTTTATTGATGATAGAAGTTATTGCTTTTTTTTAAGCATGACCTGAATACTATGGACATTAAGCTACAATCGAACTCGCACACACTTCTGAGGCTGATAAAAAGCACTTTCCATGTTAGTTTTCTACAAAACCAATGTGCAAACTCCTTTCAACACCACTTTTCATAACCAAAGTTGCAAAGTGTATTTTTTTAAAAAACTGTTTTATTTGTTTTTCTCTATATCTAGAATGTATATCAATTAACTAGACATATATATATATATATATATAGCAAGTAAAATCAGCAAGCCAGCATGATCATTAATCAACGACTATACGATAAATTTAAAATATTTTTACAGTTTTATATTAGTTAAAAAATATATTGATTTTTAAAAAGCATAGTTTAGCGTGTTTTTCCTTTAGAGAATATTGAGGGAGGGGCCTTCTAAAAAAAAGAAAAGAAAAATGAAAAGGTGCACACGGGGTAAAGAAGGGAGGAGGCATGCATCTGGACTACATATTGTGGTGGGTGGGCAGAGATGAGATTACATTTTTTTAAAAAAATAATCATAAAAAAAAAAAGTTGAAAGAAGGCAACGCGGGGGTTCTTAATCTGACAACCCACATCACAATTCATTGTCTTCTTTTCCCATAATCTTGCCTCTGTTCCCTTGCTTTCTCAAATTTCATTTTTTTTTTAATGTCTCCGCGTTTGTTCAAAAACATTTTTCCCATTTCTTTATAACATTTCAAAATATTGTCTTGCTAAAAGGTAATAAACCATTAAATTCATTTATCTACTTGCACGACACGGCCATTGCTCTGTAACCTACATGAGATAGCCAAGTCCATTTCGCTGAGGAGCATGATATTAAAAAGCCGGAACACTGAGTGCTTGTCATTTGGTTGCGAAAAAACCATAATCACGTTAAATTAATGATGAAATCAAGTGGGGGAAACCCATAACGGTTCAATATCACTTGTTTTTTTTAATGTCGTGTTGTATTCAAATATCAAAACAAAGTCTCTAATCTTTCTCGGACTGTCTAACAGAAATAAGATAATGTCGCTGCAGACCTGGACTCGAAAGAGACGCGGGCTTTTGTTGGTGACCCGGTCAAACGAGAACAAATAGTTGGAACCGGCATATTTACTTAGATATCAGAAACTCGTTTAAGTTAAAGAACCCTATTAAAATTAGTTTAAATAATAAAATTATCCTTAATGAAATTCATTAAATAAAGGAGTTTGCATGGTTGGTCAAAAGTTGATTGATTAATTAAAAAAAAATATCGAAACAAAGTACATTTTGGGGAAGGGGGCAGTGCTTAACACAAAAAGCTTGTATCAGGAACGAGAGAATTTATTTTGATTAATGGGGACAGAAGGAGGGGTTCATTTTTTATGGGAAACTGGTTTTAATCAATTTGACTTTTTAAGGACAGGGAATCGGGGATTTGCCGACTTGGATGTATACATGGCCCTTGTGCTTGCAGATTGTCTGGTTGATTTGTTCGAGTCGTTCACCTGGTTTTAAAACGAATGGGTCAACATACTAGTCGACACGATAGTCAAATAAAAATAAATAAAATAAACTGATTTTTCTTCAATAGGATTCATATTTACTTATCATAAAAATAAAATAAAGCACATTATTCATAATTTATAAATTATACAAGTTTTATTAATTTTATATTATACATAAATATGAATGTGGAAAGAAAAAATTAATCTTTTAGTCCTTCAACTTTTAACTCACTTGTAACTCAGTCCCTCAACTATAACTCGCTGCGACTCAATCCTTCAACTGTAACTCGCTGCAACTCAATCTCTCAACTTTTGATTTACCTATGACTCGGTCCTTATTTTTTATTTTTTTTTAAATTTTTTATTAAATAAGAGGGATAAAAAAATGCTCATATATTATTTTAAAATATCCTCTTCTTATTCATTAATGTGATATAGAAGTTAACATGAAAAAAAAAATTAACAAAAGTTAAAGGACTAATTTGTAAGTGATTTAAAAGTTGAGGGATTGAGTCATAGGTAAATTATAGTTGAGAGACTGAATCACAACGAATCATAGTTGAAGGATTGAATTACAAGTGATTTAAAAGTTGGAGAACTAAAAGATTAATTTTTCCATGTGAAAATGTAGATTTAAAAAAAAAAAACCATTTTTCCATTTTTTCTAGCCATGATTAAAATACATATGCTAAAAGTACTACTAAAAAAGTAGTGCATAGAGAGATGCGAATTACACCGTCGCCAACTCTTTAACTAGTTTTGGTCATACTCTAATAGATAATTTTTATATCTTTAATCATAAGCCAACTTTCATTGAAGATGGAGAGTGATGAAAGAGTCTATTTTTTTCACTTGTCTTTGTATTTGCCCTGTTTTGGTAGTTTTCCTTGCTGTAGGGCTTCTAAGAAAATAAGGAAATATCAGGGTTAATAAAAAAACATGCTGACATTCTTTTTTTCATTTCTTACATTTCACATTTTTTTTAATTATTCTTCGTCACATTTCAGAAGTTATGAACCTATGATCAGAGGATCAAAGAATTCATTGCATTGCAAATATAAGCCCTCTTAACATTTGCATTTTTATTTTGATAATTGGGCCAACCTGGGATTCAGAAATTCCAGCCCAAGAAAAATAAGAGAGGAACGAGTAAGGCCTGACAACGACACACATCACAAGCGTGATCAGCCCAACACTCGAGGAAAGAAAGAGCATTCCTTTGTTGGGAAAACGCAGCCCTTGGCGCGACCACCACTTGGCGCGCGCACGACCAACAATAAATAACAACCGAACTGCCTCCCCGCCGCCTACTTCCATTTTACCCTCCAAATATTTCATGGAATTAAAAAAATAATAATTCATCTGAAATTAGACCTCTCTTGAAAAGAAGAGGAATATGGTGCTCGGAAAACTCATATCTAGTTTCTATGGTGCTTTTCGTTATTAATTAAATAAAAATCATAAAGAGGAAAACGAAAAGTTTTTGGCGACCAACTGAAAAGGTTTCAAGCCGGTTTGGTATTTTCCGGAATCACCCACGAAGCTGTTTACACGTAAGTCGTCAACTACATATATCACCAGTGCCTTCCCTGAGAACCGCCCGCGCCTTTGTTCTTCGCAAAGAAGGCATTCTTGGCTTTTGGTTTTGGGAGCTCGTGGATGTCCATCACCTGAATGGTTCTTTGCTTTTTGGCTATATACCACCGCACAAACACACAAAATTCACCCTGTCAGCATATAACTTACCAGAGGCATTCAATTGAGCTAGCAACATGAACAAAAACTGAAATATTAAAACGGTCCACCATTTTCCGCTTCCTTGTAGTTCTCTTGAAGCCGCCTTCTTGCCGAAGCAAGTCTCTCCGCGTCAAAACTGCTCTCCCTCTGTTCTCTCTGTCTCTGCAATCATTCAAGCACAATTGTCAGCACCACTTGCACTAGGCATGTTTAACTACAAGATCCTGCTCGCTGTTTTACTTCAGCTTCTGCATTTCCAAAAACTCTAATAAATAAATAAGCTCCACTCAACTGAGATAAACTCAACAGCTCGGCCATTTTTGTTCTTAAGTTCCTATATTTTGAGCGCATAAACCTCTCCAGATTTCTATTTTCATCCTCCGTACGTTTTTGAAGCCAAGATTTAGAATCAGACTCCAAAATGGTTACAATTTAATTTATATCGTACGTTTTGAGGCGGAGCAGAAGCGGATACAGAGACAGATGGCGCTGGTTTTGGTGGGGCTTCTTTCCGAGGAATTGGTTTTGGTTTTAGTTCTGCTTCTGAATTGTTCCAGTCCGACCCAGAACTACCATCTGTATGAGTAAGAAACACATCAAACCAACGGAACCAGCGGCATACAGAAGAAAAATGAGACAAACTTTGAATCAGATACTATACTCACTATGTGGATTTGGCGAGTATGCAAAATCAGGAATCTGCAAAAGGAATGGAATATTAAAAAGCCAAAGAAAGCATAATTTTCCATCGTCTTTCCCAGGTAAAAGCCCTGGATGGGACCTAAAAAGATTATTTCACCTGATGATAGCCGTTTTGGGCGGTGGTTTTGGGCTGAGGCGAGTCTCCATCAGCTGCTTACAACATGTCATCAATTACCATCTTAATTTAGCAACATCTCTCTAATTTCCAGTAACTATGAAATTTTGTGAAGGAAGCTTAAGATTACCCATGAGAGAGGCGTGCTCTGCCGGTGGATTTAACTTCACCCATTCATCGACAATATCTTTCCATTTCCTGGACACAAGCAGCTGCCGTAAAGACTCACGAAAACTAAAAGCATGTGCAGCGTTGACGAACTTAAGTTATGCACAGACAGATATCAACATATGTACATAATTTGTTTTCAATATTTTTTTCCTCTTCCAAAACCTGACAAGGAGCTTCACCAATCGCCGAACATCATTGGATGAATGCTTTCGCAAACGATTCACATGCCTCCCAATGTCAGTGTCCTGCAGAAGTCAGACCAGCTTGGTAAATCTATCGTTGAACTTCAAATCATACAAGAGGAAAATTATTGGCGAGAAGAAGCTACCTTCAGCGCTTGGAATGTGATATCCATGTCCGCGAGATTTTGCAGCAAGTCCACCAATGATTCTTCAGACTGATGAAACAAGACAAAAGAATCGACGCAACAAGAGAGGTTAGAGAATTGTCAAACAAAAAAATGAATATTTGAGAGCACGAATGGGACAAGAGAACGGACTAATGAAGACCTGGTTAGGGTCTTCAAGTTGCTCCTTAATCTCAAGAATCTTCTTGGGCTCATCATCGAACAAACCTCCGTAAGGATCTATCTCCTCGTCGTCTTCGTTGTCGTCTTTACCGGGGGATTGCGGCGTTGCAGGAGAGGCACGACTTCTGTCGGGGAGAGGACTGCTTTGCTTCTTGATTGGGGGGCTAATTCCGCGGCCGTTAGACGTGAGATGATTGGGCTCGCAATTCCGACAGGACGCGGGAGCGGAAGTAGCCCCGTAGAGGCGCTCAACGATTCCGTCCCGGCGATACTTCAAGTCATTGCCGTAATCCAAGGAAGCGACGGTAATTGCGGTGTCGATAAAAGTCCAAACGTCAACGCCCGCAGTCTCCAAGATGGATCGGAAATCGTCCAAATCCATGTCTAACAAAAGAAAAAAAAATCCAACCACCAATAATGAAACAGAGCGCGTGGAATACCGAGATCAAAAATCCGAGAGAAGTCGGTCCCCTGAAATGGCAAGGACGGGAACAATGATACCGACAATCATCAGAGGCCAAAGAAGAGAGAGAGGACAAGAAATCCAAATGGGAGGGGGGGGATAGATCTGGGAAATGGAGAGAGAGGCAGGAAAACACGCGCAGCGATCAGATTGGGAAGCGCAGAGAACATGAAAATTCACCGGAAAACAGTGGGGAAACAGGTGAGAGGAGGAGAAGGTTCGGGGAGGATAAGAACGAAGGTAAAAAAAGAAAAAAGAAAAAGGAAAATAAAATTTTATGGGGAATGTTGAGATCAGATTAGAGTTAAAAGGGATGACGCGTGGGGGAGCAGCGTGGTAAGGGGTTAGCAGAATAGAGATGGAGACGACCTATCTCTCTCGCTGTCTGTAGCTATCTGTGGCAGCGAGTGGGGTTTGATGGTTTTGATTGAAGGATTGCTGTGGGCAGAGGTGGGGGGGGGGGGGGGGGAGAGGAAGACGAATGGGAATAGAGGAGAGACGAGAAGCATATCCAGGTAGGATTTCGGGGTGTCCAATGGCACGTAAAACATGTCATTAACCATTTTAAGTATAACATATTCCTTTATTATAAATTGTAAATGGAATCACACCCTGTCCTCCACCTTCTCGGACCATTCCCTGCGCCTCCACCTCCCTTCTAAGTTCTAATCTTATACGCCCCTTTATTTCTACTGTTACTTTGTCTTCAAAGCTCCGTTTCTAGTTCTACCGCCACACTCACTGTATTTTGCCTTTGTGAATGTAACATTTAAAAACTAGAGCAAATTATTTATGTAATTAATGAAATAAATTTATCTAATAAAAATAAATATTGACCTTATGAGAAATAATTTGGGAAAAACATAATAAATATTTATTAAAATTTGTATTTCTTCTTATAACTAAAAACAAACAAAAATATAATAATTTCTCTTATACTTGAAAACGAAATAGTATTTCTTAAAATCTCATATTAAAAGATGTAAAGTATTTTAAATTTTTTAAGGTATTGATAATAATAATTTTTTTAATTACTTAATCATGGTTGCAATAAATAAGAATTTTTAATTGACACTTCTTATTAAATAAAAATAAATATGAAAAGAGTGTGTAATTTTAAAAATAATAAATTAACTCACAATTTGATTAAAAGTGCTTTATAAGGTAAGAGAAGGGATCGTATAAAACTAATAAAAATGTATATAGATATAAATATAAAGATTATTTTAGTTTGCTGTAACAAAAAAACGTATTATTCTAGTTTGCCATGTCCGCATTTCACTTCCTTTATTGTTGCTTTATTTTTAATTACGGCTAAATATTTGCTAATAAAGAAATTATATTTTACCTGAGATTTGAAATGAGTTGTGCTATTGAGATGTATGAATGTTTTATTATAAATCCTAGGTAATGTACGGAATATGGATTATAATGTGTCACTAATCTTGTGCATGCTTGAAAAATTACTGAAACTAATCTTGTATTATGAATTGTATAGATACATGAACACACACACATATTCTCTATCTGACTATAAGACTGAAATCTTCATTTTTGAGGAATTTGATTTAGTTTGGAAAATGATAATATGGTGAGTTCTTAATCGATTATTGTCTTGCATGTACCTGTAAATCTAATTAGCTGATTAAGCGCGAATCTGACTTGGACGAAGTCAATTGAATTGTCTAAATTGAGTTCTACATGTCTGCGTGGCGGGGTGCGCCCATGTCACTTCTTACCTTGCAAGTTCTATCCTGGAGTGTTCGTTCTAGGAAACCTATAAGAACATAAATTCATCGTGAGCGACAATGCAAAGTTGTGATTAAATTGGAAGATCTAAAACTAGAAAGTGCTTATGAATTACTATATCATCAGTCCATCAGTCCATCAAGAGACCAAAATGGCCCCAAGGCCGCAAGGTGAATGGATTTATTCTTACATCATAATTTACTGTAAATATTATAATTATGCTAGTGCATAAAGAAATTTTTGGTCAAGTCCAGTGCACCATGTCATATATGCTTCGTCCAACAAAATTGCAAAATTGCATTAATTTAAACCAATGAAATCCTATAAGTCATTATTTTTAATGATTTTATTTTTAGAATAAATTAAATACCTATTTAATTTCATATATGTTTTTTCTATATTATCATTAATATCATAATTAATTTATATTTACAATAATTTGAATGATATGTCTTTATTGAATTGAGTATGAATGATATAATGTATTATGTTCATGCAAAATTCTCTCTAATGTACGTGATCAAGGATGTTTATGAGCCATAGTGTTTGGTCCATAACATCTCCTTGGTCGAGTTTTTTTAATCAATGGCCGATCTTAAAATGGAATGTCCTATGAATTAAACTCAAAACTACTATTTTGATTAAGATATACTTATATATATTACCTCTCCTCAACTGCATGAAGTTGTAATTCATAAGAGAGGAAAATTACTCCAATCATTGATTTAATGAATGATGAAATTAGAAAGTAAAAAAAAAAAAAGTTCGAGGGCATTAGTTATCATTTCTTTTATGCCACAGTTAACTTTCATTTCTTATGAATCACAAAGTTACTTAATTTTATCATTTAATTGTGATAGGAGGGGATTTACTCTCCTCGTTTTAAATTTTGAGATTAAAAAAAGACAATTAACATCATTAAAAATGATATAACATTTTTAAACTAATTAAATAAATTTAAGATATTTAATTTTGAAATATAAAAATTGTGCCATACACACTCCCCTAATTGTAACACCATGGCAAAAAAAAAAATGCACCTCTTATTGATAAAGGTTAGTTCAATTGATAAAAACTTGACCCACAACTCACAAAGTTATAGAATCAAGTCTCGTTATTAATGTGATGACTTTATTGATAGGTGATCTGTAAGTATTTTTGTAAGTATACTTTGAGATTGAAGGCGTGCCTTAACTCTAACAAGCTTCGAAACCCATCTCACATAAACTTTCTCATAAAAAAAATGTACTCCCTAATGGCAATTAATTAACTTGTTTTAAAAAATAGCACTATAGTAAACACGTGCATAAAAAAAAAAAAGGATTATGCTTGTACGCTTAATTACAAGACAAAAAAAAATGGTAATTGATTTCGTTGAATCGCTTTCATGACCAAAAAAGATTACGTCGAATTGTTTATGGATACTAATTAATGATTTTTATTTTAAAGATCGCAATACATGGAGGGTAAATCAGTCTATCGTAATTTTAAATATAATCAAATACTTTTAAGTGCACCTCTTAAATTATGTGCTTCCCCCTACTTTTTGAACATATTTTAGTAAAATGTCGTTACAGTATTTTTTTTTTTTTTAACTTATGAAATGTAAGTTCTGTTAATAGCAGAGAATATATTTCATAAAATACTAAAAAAAATTAGTGAATCTTTTTTAATTAAATTATTACATACATAAGGATTGAGGTTTGAATTACTAGCTATTTGTTTGAATGGTAAAAGCTTCTATCATTCACTACAATATATCTTAATCTATCTTTTTAAAATATATATGAATGAATATTTATAGCGAAAAATATAAAGTTTGAAGATTTTAAAGTTTTATTCTTTACCACTGTTTGAACCAAACGTGTTACATGTGTAAGGCTTTGGAAATGGGCAAAATAATCAAAAAGACTAACATTTTAATTAAATTTGCTAGGGTTCATGGTCCTTATACGGAAGCAGAACCAGCTTGAAATTTCAAGAGAGGTTAAGGTTGGGTTGCACTATCCTGAACGAGTGACCGTATATATATTACGATGAACACAGAATCATAAAACTAGTGAGGACATAATTATAAAAATTTTAAAACAATAAAAATAATTTAATATATATAATTAATATTAAGTTTTATAATAATATTAGAAAAGACAAATTAAAATAATGCCTTTATACCAAAAATCTAAATCTAATGCATTTAAAATATAAAATCAACTAAGCTTAAGTAAAATATAAAAGACCCAACTTATTTTGAATTCAAATATATTCTAGTTTGGGTCTAGTGCATTCAAAATTATTGGGGCAATGAGGTAAAATTTTACTTACTTCTTGTAAATTTTTTCAATTTGAATGGGAGCACTTGTCCACCCTAATCACTGCTCGGGTCCATCACTATGCATGTATACACTTTGTCCATCTTATTTATAAAGCATATTTAACATGTTTTATTTGAATAAAAAAATTAAAACTCATTAACTTTTCATAAATGCTCCTTTTGCTTTTATTTATATGAAAAAATGTCACTTTTTGTTTTCTTTTTTAAATAAATAAAATCACATTCATTAATGAGCATTCATTACAAATTTTTTAAAGTATCCTTCATAATTTTATCATCCACAATCAAAAGAAATAATTAATGAAAAGTTGATAAATGCAATTAATAAAGAGTATTTTAGCCCAATTTTTTTTATTTTCAAACACAGTTGATATAGTTAATTAATTTTCTTAAACAATGTGTACTTTTTTCTCTTACAAATATAAATGAAGAGAATACTTAATGAGTTGTCCAACTTTACCTTTATTTAATATGCATGTTTTATTAATATATTTTCTCTCACCAACGTTTATCTTTAGTTTGGATGATAAGAAAAATATGAAGGAAACAAAACTATGAGAGAAAGCTTTAAAATTTTATAACTTCTGTAACACCCTAAATAATACTTTCAAGTTGACTAGCTTAATTGTGATAGAAAAGAGTTTATCATGTTAGACAAAAGATAATATGTCCTTCTTTAAAATAATTATTAGACTTGAAAGCACTACCACAGTAGAAAAAAGTGAAACATAAATTATATAATGTAATCTACCTTTTTAAAAATGACTACCACAATAAATAGAACTTAGCTTGTTAAACATACACTTTCAAAAGTTAGGATCCCAATTATTTATAAATAAAAATAAGCGTGAAGGGCTCGTATCAACTTGTACAATCTAAAACTTTATAAAACAAAATAAAACAAGAATTTAAAAGCTTTTATGCATTTTGAAAATCTTTGGAACATTTCATAAACATTTTTGACTCTAAATATGAATATAGATCGTGATATCCTGACATACAATGAACTATGGTTGGATTATAATTATCCAACACAATTTATATCAAGTACATTAATATAAAAATATCTAATATTTGGATTAAAACACAACATCTCAATAAAATTTATCCTCTCACGTGCTATTAGGCTAAAATAATATTTTACAACTTTTTACTCCCAACAAGTGTAAAACAAAAACAACAACCCAGATTAAACAAACTAATTACTTTCAAAATAAGCAGACATATGGCCCCGCAATTATACCATTTCGAACCTCCCAAAACAAATCCATGTTCACAGTTTATAGTCATCTTGCAAAATACTATGATTAATAACAATTTGAAGGGCACGATCACATGACAAACTCATATAACAATTAATAACAAAA